GGAATGGGAGAAGGTCATGTGGTCTGATGAGACAAAAATAGAGCTTTTTGGTCTAAACTCCACTCGCCATGTTTGGAGGAAGAAGAAGGATGAGTACAACCCCAAGAACACCATCCCAACCGTGAAGCATAGAGGTGGAAACATCATTCTTTGGGGATGCTTTTCTGCAAAGGGGACAGGACGACTGCACTGTATTGAGGGGAGGATGGATGGGGCCATGTATCGCGAGATCTAGGCCAACAACCTCCTTCCCTCAGTAAGAGCATTGAAGATGGGTCGTGGCTGGGTCTTCCAGCATGACAACGACCCGAAACACACAGCCAGGGCAACTAAGGAGTGGCTCCGTAAGAAGCATCTCAAGGTCCTGGAGTAGCCTAGCCAGTCTCCAGACCTGAACCCAATAGAAAATCTTTGGAGGGAGCTGAAAGTCCGTATTGCCCAGCGACAGCCCCGAAACCTGAAGGATCTGGAGAAGGTCTGTATGGAGGAGTGGGCCAAAATCCCTGCTGCAGTGTGTGCAAACCTGGTCAAGACCTACAGGAAACGTATGATCTCATTAATTGCAAACAAAGGTTTCTGTACCAAATATTAAGTTCTGCTTTTCTGATGTATCAAATACTTATGTCATGCAATAAAATGCAAATTAATTACTTAAAAATCATACAATGTGATTTTCTGGATTTTTGTTTTAGATTCCGTCTCTCACAGTTGAAGTGTACATATGATAAAAATTACAGACCTCTACATGCTTTGTAAGTAGGAAAACCTGCAAAATCGGCAGTGTATCAAATACTTGTTCTCCCCACTGTATATATATATTTGCGAGAAAACAAACATATGGGGGATTGGAAGTGACGCAGACAATTACATTGATGGAAGTTACAATCTATCTGCAATATTAAAGCTGATCTACCCCCTAAAAAATAAAAAAAATAAAAAATCAGGGGCTAAATTGTCATGATCAGGGGTTTCAAGTTTGTATCTTTCCATTTTTGACCAGCTGATCATAGCGAAAAATAAAATACTTCTGCATTTCGCGCTGTGTAAACATATTGATTCTCATTGCAAATAGACTCAGGATAACTCCTGATAAAGTTGGGTAGCTGATATTCAGAGCTTTAATAGCCTAATTGATTAGTCACAGGAATCTGGACTAATAAAGTCAATGCAACTGCCTGTTTTACAAACGGTATGCCTACCACATGGATGGGGATTCCTAAAATTCCATTCTGGCTGACACTGTCGCTGTACCCCAGTAAGCACGGACCGAAGCCGAAGTCTTTTTTTGGTTTTGTCTGGACAGGGCATCATTTTTTGGTGTTTTACAAACTGATAGGCCTGCCAGATGGATGGGCTTTCATAAAATTTCATTGTGGGCCGACACTGTAGGCTACAGCCCAGTAATCACGGACCGATGCTGACATCTTTTGGATGTCTTTATTTGTTGATTTCTATGTCCACAGACATTGATTTTTGGTCCTGTCCGAACCAAATCTGAACCAATCATAGACGTCTATATTTGGTTCAGATTTGGTCTGGTCTGGACCGGCCTTGATTTGGTCCAAACAAAAACGTCTACAAATGACGTCTTTTCATACATGTCTGTCTCTGAAAAATGTCGTTGTAAAACAGTCAAAATGTATTGATATTTGACTCAAAAGATGCCCAACGATTAAACAGAGCAGTAGCTGAGTTTATCTGTCTGGATCAAGTGCCATTCTGGGACTTTGACAAATTTACTGTACCTTCTTTTTTTGCTGCGGTATCATTTTGATTACCGTTCTCCTAGCAGCAGGATATAAAACTGGCAGCAGGAACTCAGATTTTCTTTTTCAAAATAAGAGTCACCCTGCAAAAACATGCTAAACATTGGGAATATCGATTTTTGTTTCTCACTCTAGTGCAGTACAACTGGTTTTCACAGCATTGCAACCGCCTTTGAAAAAATGTGTGGATAACATTAAGTATTTTATTTGTAATATTGTATTATTTATACCAGCATTTCTTTTGAAAGTTTACACAAATACCGGTGTGTCGAAAGCTATTGTGTAGGCTATATTGAAAGAAATACACGTTTAATAAAATACAAATATAGGTTATATGAATTAATCAATAGAGTCTGCGAAACTAAATTGGTCTCTTGTGCTGGGCAACGGGTTTAATACAGAGTGCTGGTGACTCCTTACTCCACCCACTCCATTCACTGCAATGCAATACACTGAATATGGAATACTAATGGGTTGTAGAGAAAATACCAGTCTCAGCTAAAGTGGGGTGGGAAATACTCAGTAGGGTCTCTACTAACCAAATATGTGTAGTTTTGTAGCGGGACTATGTCGTACATATCCAGCAGGACTTCGTTCTTCACCCCCCTCCATAGCTATCTCCACCCCCTCGAAGCAGCAGGCCGTGGGACACAGTCCCCCTTCAAAACGTACCATATTTAGTTAGTAGAGACCCTACTGAGTATTTTTCACCCCACTTTAGCAGAGACGGGTAGACAAGTTTTCTCTCTACGAGTCAATATGTATCCCATGTACAGTCTATTACAGTGTATTGCATTGGGAGCTATGGAGGGGGCAGAGAATGAAGTGCTGTTGGATATGTATGACACACACAATCATACACACCCCACTCTTCCATATGCAGCCTACCTTTGAAGCACCTCTTTGAGTAGCTTATTCCTTTTCTGTTCTTCCTGGTCCAGCTTATTCAGATGTTGCCTTCCAAATAATCCTTATTGACTTCCAAAGAATCATCAAAGAACCCTTTCTTTCAAAAACAGTTCTTAGGATGCCTTACAAAGAACCCTCGTCTTCCAAAAAGGGTTCTTCAGATGAAAATGGTTCTTGGTAGAACCAAACAACCCTTTTGGAACCCTTTTCTCTAAGAGTGTACCATGGCTAAGGGCTGTTCTTAGGCATGATGTGAAACAGAGTGCCTGGAGACAGCCCTTAACAATGGTATATTGGCCATATACGATAAACTTTCAAGGTGCCTTATTGCTATTATAAACCGGTTACCAACACAAATATAACAGTAAACAAGTAGTTTTGCGCCATACCCATGGTACATTGCCTAACATACATGTTTTTAGCCAATCAGCATCCAAGACCCAAACTATCCGGTTTATAATAAGCCTTATATTAAAGATCCAGACTTTACTCATCAATACCTCTTCAACAGAACGTGCCAGAATGATAGAATTGACATACATGTTCTAAATCATCTGAATATAGTGAACAAGTCTCTTGTTTATGCAATTCACATTTCCTTTTTGGAGGCAAAATCTATGACGTGTTTCCTACTTGCTGATTCGTTGAACGCAGCATGTGTATAACTACAACCAGTGATCAAGTCAGAAATGTCAGTTTCCTTGTTTTTCCGACTAGCACGTGAACGCGGCAGTAGCCCTCCACCGCTTCAAGGATTAAGGGACCGTCTTAAAACTGCAACACCTACTATTGCATGTGAAAAATGTCAATAGCTTCTCAACCACATGACATAGTGATATCAAACCAATTTGATTTTGTTCAGAGACCTCTTCTCTCCAATCCATGGCAATTAGTTTAGCTTTATTTGACTTTGTATATTTTCTTTGTATTTGAATTGAATTTATATTAAACGATACTTCCTTCAAAGGGATACTTTGGGATATTGGCCATGAAGCCCTTTATCTACTTCCCCAGAGACATATGAACTAATGGATAACTTTTTTATGTCACTGCATCCAGTATGAAGGAAGTTAGAGGTAGTTCCACAAGCCAATGCTAACTAGTGTTAGTGCAATGACTTGAAGTCTATGGTATTTACTAGCATGCTAGCAGTTACCATAGACTTCCAGTCACTGCACTAACACTAGTTAGCAACTTCCTTCAACCTGCACGCAGAGAAATAAAAATGGCATCCATGAGTTCATCTGTATCTGGGGAAGTATAGAAAGGGCTTCATTGCCAAAATCCTGAAGTATCCCTTTACACTTAAATTGCTTCCAAAATAGCAAGTAATTGCAGTGGATTGGAGGGAAGAGGTCCAGTTGGTTGTATACATGCAAGTCATATTGGTTGGAAGCTATTTAAGTTTTAAGGAACTTTTTTCAATACAAATTCGATTAAAATTCATAAAAAAAACAGACAAAATCAAAAAGGAAAAAAGTTGTTGCTTTGGATTGGAGGGAACCAGTCCCCGTTGGTTGTATTCATGCAAGTAATATGGGGTGGACGCTAACATTTCTGTGGATTGGAGAGTAAAGGTCCCTGAACCTATTACAGTTGGTTTGAGATTTCTAAGTCATGTGGTTGCAAAGACGTTTTTCAGTTAATTACTTGCACTTTTAAAACGGTCCCTTAGCTGTGAGTACGCGGACAATAAGCCATTGAAATCAATGTAAAGTCACTTTTTACAAACAGAACAACAAAAACAATGGGTGTAACTTGTTCTCTATCGTCAGCTGATTCAGAATATGACATTTCTGTCATCCTGGCACTTTCCGTTGAAGAGGTATTAAAGAGCAAAGTCTGAATCTTTAATACAAATCCAAACACACTGCAGTTGACAAGACAAGGGTGAAGTCACAAGAAACCATTTTAAGGTCCATCATTATAAAATCAGGATGGGTTAAATGTTGCCCAGATCTTTAACACAATAACACAATATCCCATATGACATCCTTTTCCCTGTATAGTGCCAGGGCTCTGGTCAAAAGTACTGCGCCACATAGGGATTAGGAAGCAATTTGGGACCCAAGCCAATGTCTTGAAACAGCAATAAAGAGGAGGGTTAAATGCACACCCTACACTTGACGAATACCGGTGGTGCTGAGTTAATAAATAATAATACTGAGATAAAGGAATGAGAGCTCCACACAGAATATTTCTGCACCCCCGTGCATTATTCTTGCACACAAAACTTCCATCACCCAAAACCTGCACCGGGGAGCAACAATATTCTGAGTGGAGCTCTCATTCCTTTACCTAAACGGTAATAAGCCAATCAACCCTTTACCTGAGCTGTCTGCAGTAACATGCTTAAAGATCAGGAGCACCAGCAGAACACCCAATGACATCATTCTGTTCAGATTCTCTTCAGATCAGACACAGGACTGAAAAATAAAAAATGAAACAAATAATATATATATATACATTTGGTACAATTATAGCCAAAGGGAGCACTTCCGCTACCTTGCTCTGCAACCAAGGTGAATGAATTGAGGAGAAGACTGAAGTATAGAGGAGGGCAGTGGAAGTTGATACCTAAAAATAAAGAAAATACTTATTTAATCATAAAACTAATGTGTTTCGGCCTATTAGTCTTCATCAGGATCAAAACATGATAAAAGCTAAACGCATTAGGTTTATCAATGAAGAAGCGTTTAAAAAGAACAAATGATCAACTTCCACTGCCCTCCAAGAGTTCCTGAATTCCCTCTCCACTTCAACTGTGGCAAAATCTAAGAATACAATGTTAAGTATTTTCATACAAAATGAATAAGTTATAGTTGAAACTATGGAATAAGGCATCGCTCACTTACCAATCAGCGTATGATGGATTTGACTTTAGAGATAGAGGATATATTCACTCGTTTTTCAGGGGAGGAGGGGGTGGTGGGGCGCATCATGTGACTACAGTAAAGGGATATTGTTTTTAACGGAGTTACTAATTAATTGTTAGGAAAAGGAATTCCTGGCGAATGGAACAAACCAACTGATAACTATTAGAAATATAATCTATGCCAGTTAGCCTTGTGCCAATGTGCCCATGGTGATGACATTGAAACATTGAAGAACTGAATAAAGCTTATTGTTTAAAGCAGTGTTTCCCAATCCCAAAAGTGGGGGGTGTTAGTACATGGGCAATCAGGTGTGTTAGTACATGGGCAAAAACAAAATGGTCCCTCTTTGGGTCCCCAGGACCAGGATTGGGAAACACTGCTTTAAAGGGACATTCACTCATAAATGAAAGACCTTCAGACCTCAAAAGTAGACTAATGTGAAGATGAAACCCACAACATCGGTTGTGTAGATCATGCCATATGCCTCTAAGGTTTTCTACAGTGCTTATCTTTTCCATTCACTTGGGGTTGAGGCATATAGCTGAATCTACACAACCGATGTCGCATTATGTTTTTTTGTGTTTTTTTTACATCTTGAAATTAGTTTTGAAGTCTGAAAACTGAAAACGTCTGACAAACTTTTAGTTTAAAGTGTAATGCCCCTTTATTAACTGTACGGAGCTGAACTCATGAGCTCATCACTCAGAGATGGTGTTATGTTGGTCTGTCATTGATAATAAGTAATGATAATAGGTCATAGGTCGGAGCCAGAAGGGCCCATTGGGCAGGAGCCTATCGGTCGTTACTATGTGGGCAAGTGGTAAAGTCAGAAGCCCCGCCTATTTCTACAATTTATCTTCCTATAATCTGATTTAAACCTAACCTTAACCCTAACCTTAACCACAATGCTTACTTTATGCCTAACCGTAACTTTAAATTAAGACCAAAAAGCCAATTTTGACTTTGCCACTTGGGAACCGAGTTTATCTCCTCTTTCTGTAGCCCAGTGTTTCCCAATCCTGGTCCTAGGGATCCAAAGAGGGGCACATGTTTGGTTTCGTTCCTGTACTAACACACCTGATTCAAATCAAATGCTTGATGATGATGATGATGATGTTGATTAGTGGAATAAAGTGTGTGAGTGCTAGGGTAAACACAACAATGTGCACCCCTTTGGTTCCCCAGGACCAGGATTGAGAAACAATGAGTGGTGTGAGGCAACTTGATGTACCAGTACACCCCCTGGAGAGGACACTAGTCTATCTCCTGTTTCTGTAGGGTGAGGCAGCTTGATGTACCAGTACACCCCCCTGGACAGGACACTAGTCTATCTCCTGTTTCTGTAGAATGAGGCAGCTTGATGTACCAGTACACCCCCTGGACAGGACACTAGTCTATCTCCTGTTTCTGTAGAATGAGGCAGCTTGATGTACCAGTACACCCCCTGGACAGACGCTGTCACTGATAACAAGTTACATTTTAACGGAGAACCCAATATCTTCCCATGATAATCTTCCATTCTAAAATTCCTGCAGCAAAAGTTGTGCTCACAATCCATTCACACACACTCTCTCTCTATCTCTCTCTCTCTCACACACACACACAGTGTCTATAAACGTGTGTAATTGTCATCAGTCAGTTACGCAAGCAACCCTTATCTTATGCTGTTCAAACAATCTGCTGTTCCATTCTCAAAAACCTAATCAAACATAGCCTACTGGTTAATCTTAGCCGTCAGATTAAATACATTCACAACTGGGTTATGGACATGATGTTCTGAGTTAGGGAATAGGACACACACAAACACACACACACACACACACACACACAGGCCTGGATTCAATCCAGGGCGTGTTATAGAGCAGCTACCTTTTAAAGTCTATTATAATGTTGCTCTGGACTGAATCCCGGCCACAGTACAGGGGCCTGAAGGAACCACCCACGTTGAGTTTACTGTAGCAATGGAGAGAAGTGGAAGGTCCTCAACCAACAGTAACAATGGAGAGAAGTGGAAGGTCCTCAACCAACAGTAACAATGGAGAGAAGTGGAAGGTCCTCAACCAACAGTAACAATGGAGAGAAGTGGAAGGTCCTCAACCAGCAGTAACAATGGAGAGAAGTGGAAGGTCCTCAACCAACAGTAACAATGGAGAGAAGTGGAAGGTCCTCAACCAACAGTAACAATGGAGAGAAGTGGAAGGTCCTCAACCAACAGTAACAATGGAGAGAAGTGGAAGGTCCTCAACCAACAGTAACAATGGAGCCATAAGAAAGGAGAATCATAAACTACTACTCAGACTGTCATGGTCATTCTGATGTATTTTATTGTGTTCTTCTACAGTGGAACTTAAACATCACTATTTCTAACACCAATATGACTAATGGTCCCACTGCTTTAGTAAGACAACCTTGGAAGTGTCCAGCACATTGACTAAACATGTATCTTGAATGTCACTTGTCTTTAACAAGTTTAGCCAGCTTTCCTAAAAGCTGCTATGGTCTTTTAGTACTTTCTCCTATACCAAATAAGCCACACGTTGTTCTGCCTCAATCCCTCATTGTTCTGCCTTTTGTAAATATGTATTTATCCTGCCTTACAATAAACATAGACATGTATCTATGTTTACAACCTGTTAAATAGACAATCATTAGACAATGTGTTTCATCATCAGTTATTTATTGTCATAATCAAATCACAGCATACACACACAGCAACTCAGGTTTGGTTGGCACTTACACAATGATTTGAGGAAATGATCAGTCCTCAAAAACAATACAAGTCTATGTGTAAACAACATATACAGTACAATGAAATCACACTGTAGTGCATAAATGAATTACTATAATCAAAACAAGTATTTCTGTGCCCTTGAAAGTTATACTTGGCTGTAGGTCTGAGATCAGGGGAGTAGTGGAGGAGGGACCCCATCCTTCATATGACATGCTGGGGGGTTCCCAAGGCTCACTCTAGACTCTAGGCCCCTGGGGGTCAAAGAGAATCAGACAGTTAGAGAGGAAACACACCAGAACGACAGTTCCTCTGACCAGGCCATTCTTTTCCTGATCATTTCCCAAATAATCTACATGTTGAATCTGTGAAAACTGCCACCGTTCGCTGGCACCCAGCAGGTGGTCATTAAAACACAGCTTGGCGACAGCAGTCAGCTACTTATTGCCTAAATCCTATGTGGTATATTAGCTTATGAACTAAACTTGAATAAAATACTCACAGCTGATTGGCCCGATGGCTAGGGGCTTGAGGAGGACAGAATCGGACACAGAGCGAGATTTCCTTCCGGAGCACACCTGTAGAGAGAGATAGAGACCAAAAACTCAGTTGGAGAGACCAAACACTAAGTCGGTGAGACCAAACACTAAGTCGGTGAGACCAAACACTAAGTCGGTGAGACCAAACACTAAGTCGGTGAGACCAAACACTAAGTCAGAGAAACCAACCATTAAGTCAGAGAGACCAAACACTGCGTTTGAGAGACAAACACTAAGTCAAAGAGTCAGAGAGAACGTGGAGGAGTTGAGGACTCACCGGAGTGCAGGAGGAGCTCCTCTGGTCACACAGGCTGAGGCTGCAGTGCAGGAAGACGTAACGGTAGTCCACCTGCAACACAGCAGAGAAGCGAGCCCTGAGGGACGAGCCACTTTCCTCCACGGTCACCTGGGTACGATTTCTAGAACACCTGGGAGAAGAGCCAAGAAACAGCAAAGGTTAGGGTTCAAGGTATGCACGGCTACACTGACCTTACACAGCAACAAACATACCATACTTCACACACACATAAAACAACCACACATAGATATGCAAAACAGCTGATGAATAGAGTCATGGACCTGTCCTGAATCATGTAGGTCCGCGGGAGGTTATCCGGGTTGGGGGATTGGGTGGCGTAGCAGTCCTCCAGAACAACAACAAAACGTTCCATCCCAGACTCCTCTACGGACACGCCCACGTGCAGTGTGGAACCAATCGGCAGGAGGACTTCACCAGCTGGGTAAGGCTCTGTGTAGTTGGATAAACGATACAGAAACATGGAGGCTCTGGCCTTGGCACCGACTCCAACAACTCCATGATCATTTCTATCAAGGGGTGAACATGAAGCCAAAAGACATCAGATATTAGACAGCTTTATAAGTACAGATATCAAAGTTATAAAAAAAAAAAAAAGTTATTCCTAACAGTTATTACATATGAAGACTTAATGTAGGTGTTTCATGTATAACAATATCTTCAATTGGAAAACACCAGAAGACACAATTATTAAAAAGAGTTTGATGTCATAATGACTGGTCTGTTCTGCACAAAGAAAACAGAATAAAAGTAATAAACGTTCTGTGTATTTTCTCACGGTAGGTAGGGTCTGATGGCCACATCCAGGCTGCTCTCTGTCTCCAGAGGATAGACACAGGAGAGAGGATAGCTCACGGGTTGGGATTTGTTTCTCCCATCTACTGGATAAACGAATAAGCTGTTGGAGTAGACAGCATGGGTGGTGTTAGTCTGAAATAGAAGAAGAGAAGTGTTCACAGTTCAATTGATACTCAGGTCTTATACACAGACCTACTAACATTAAGGTCTTATACACAGACCTACTAACATTAAGGTCTTATACACAGACCTACTAACATTAAGGTCTTATACACAGACCTACTAACATTAAGGTCTTATACACAGACCTACTAACATTAAGGTCTTATACACAGACCTACTAACATTAAGGTCTTATACACAGACCTACTAACATTAAGGTCTTATACACAGACCTACTAACATTAAGGTCTTATACACAGACCTACTAACATTAAGGCCTTATACACAGACGTACTAACATTAAGGTCTTATACACAGACCTACTAACATTAAGGTCTTATACACAGACCTACTAACATTAAGGTCTTATACACAGACCTACTAACATTAAGTCTTACACAGACCTACTAACATTAAGGTCTTATACACAGACCTACTAACATTAAGGTCTTATACACAGACCTACTAACATTAAGGTCTTATACACAGACCTACTAATATTAAGGTCTTATACACAGACCTACTAACATTAAGGTCTTATACACAGACCTACTAACATTAAGGTCTTATACACAGACCTACTAACATTAAGGTCCTTATACACAGACCTACTAACATTAAGGTCTTATACACTACTACTAACATTAAGGTCTTATACACAGACCTACTAACATTAAGGTCTTATACACAGACCTACTAACATTAAGGATCAGTTATAAACAAAACTCTTCCAGTGTTGAATAACCTCCAGTCAGACATTGAGGTAATGTGTTCTCACCTCCAGAATGTTTCCACAGCGTCCCTCCCTGCGCTCCACCTGGTACCAACACCGTTCCGTTATGATCCTCGTGGCGGAGCACCTAGGGTCGGCCAGGTGAGCTGTGGAAGCGTTCAGACCAGCGGCCTTCAGGTTAGCCTTGTTGAGACCCACCTGTACCAGGCTCCGCCCACACACTACCACTGGAGCCATGATAGGAGGATTGGTGGTGGTTATCCGAGTTGTTGTAGTTGTGGGTGTAGGGGCTGTTTTAAAAGGTTGATAGAGAGGGGCAGTAGAGAAAGAATGAAAGAGAGGAATAGAGAAAAACAAGAGAATACAAAATGACTATCAGCCAGGTGCCAAGAGCAAATAGTGAACACAAAATGACTATCAGCCAGGTGCCAAGAGCAAATAGTGAACACAAAATGACTATCAGCCAGGTGCCAAGAGCAAATAGTGAACACAAAATGACTATCAGCCAGGTGCCAAGAGCAAATAGTGAATACAAAATGACTGTCAGCCAGGTGCCAAGAGCAAATAGTGAACACAAAATGACTATCAGCCAGGTGCCAAGAGCAAATAGTGAACACAAAATGACTATCAGCCAGGTGCCAAGAGCAAATAGTGAATACAAAATGACTGTCAGCCACATCTTAGCTGTTATAGTTGTATTGATAATGATAATAGGTTTATTCATGTATGATAGAGTCCATGAATGATGGGATCAGAATAGGTTGAATTTTCATATTCCTGTATCTATTCTTTGTAGTTATTGATTTACTATGTGCTGTGTTGTTTTCTCAGTGTTGAATGTATTCCATGAGAAGTTGGAAAATGTTGTAAATCGATTTAACCCCTGGGTTTTACTCAGTGCATCTTTTTCCCAATAAGTCAATCAATCACTGAAAAGTAAGATGTGTTTTTCTTAACACTCACCTTTCCTCACACACCTCCAGTTGATCTTGTTGTCACTCATACAGGTCTCATCGTTTCTACAGGTAGAACACACCTTGGTGTTGACGTCTGGAACAGCAGAGGGGAAGGGGGATTCATGGATTTTCTGTGTCTAGTACACACGCAGGTTATACAGCTGATGTACAATGTATTTGTCACTACGGTTGTGATACCACAGATGAGTTCCACAAAAATGTTTACGCAACCGTTGTGTGGTGTCTAAAGTATGTCTTTAAATACTGTTAATATAAATGCAGACACTTGGTTCTGGGTTCAGAGAGTGAATTGGACACTTTGGAACATTCTTAATGTCTTTAAGAATCAGTAAAAAGCACATTATGATGGTACATACCGGCACAGTAGGCCAAGTGGCAGCTTACTGCAGGGACAAACTTGTAGACATAGTAGTTTCCATAGCAGGCTTTGACATGGATGGGACCTTGTTTAAATGAGCAGCAGCCACTTCCCCAGTTCCCACAGACACCTCTCTGAACCACTCCGTCTGACAGCTGGGGATGGGGATCAGTGAGCCACATGGGGGCGTGGGTTCCACACATGTTCATATCCACACACCTCTCTGGCATCTGAACACCGGTGTTCCCCAAGAACAGGCGATACCAGCCCTGAAAGTTCATGCTCTGGTCGCAGTGTAAGCCCCCATTAACCTGGCTGTTGTAGTTTGTGGCGCGCCAGTCGTCTTTCAGTTCGGTGTAGGTCTGGCATGGGTCTGCACAGCGAAGTATTCCACTGACACTGATACAGTCCTGTCCCACTGGACACTGTGTGCCCCCACAGCTAAACCGGATAGAATTGGCAACAACCACACCTGCGAAAACAACCCCCCCCCATAAAAACGTATGATATCCCTGGGCTATGGTTAAAGGTAATGCACTATATAGGGATTAGGAAGCCAGTTGGGATGCATCCCAATGGCTCGCTCTCCAGAATTGAAACACTGGCAATAAAGAGAATGAGGGTGATGTCTACATCCTGAACTTGAGAACGAGGGTGATATCTACATCCTGAACTTGAGAACTAGGGTGATATCTACATCCTGAACTTGAGAATGAGGGTGATATCTACATCCTGAACTTGAGAACGAGGGTGATATCTACATCCTGAACTTGAGAATGAGGGTGATATCTACATCCGGAACTTGAGAATGAGGGTGATATCTACATCCGGAACTTGAGAATGAGGGTGATATCTACATCCTGAACTTGAGAATTAGGGTGATATCTACATCCTGAACTTGAGAATGAGGGTGATATCTACATCCTGAACTTGAGAATGAGGGTGATATCTACATCCTGAACTTGAGAATGAGGGTGATATCTACATCCTGAACTTGAGAATGAGGTATATCTACATCCTGAACTTGAAGAACGAGGGTGATATCTACACATCCTTAACTTGAGAATGAGGGTGATATCTACATCCGGAACGTGATATGAGGGTGATATCTCACATCCAACTTCCTAGAAGAGGTGATATCTACATCCTTAACCTTGAGAATTAGGGTGATATCTCATCCTGAACTTGATATGAGGGTGATATCTACTCCGGAACTTGAAACAAGGGTGATATCTCCATACTTAACTTGAGAATGAGGGTATATCTACATCCTAAACTTGAGAACGAGCGTGATATCTACATCCTTAACTTTGAGAACGAGGGGTGAGTACTACACACCATCTGAACTGAGAATGAGGGTGATATCTACATCCTGACCTTGAGAATGAGGTGGAATATCTACATCCTGAACTTGAGAACGAGCCGTGATATCTACATCGCTGCGAGGCTGTAGTGAACGAGGGTGATATCTACATCCTGAACTTGAGAATGAGGGTGATATCTACATCCTGAACTTGAGAATGAGGGTGATATCTACATCCTGAACTTGACAACGAGGGTGATATCTACATCCTGAATTTGACAACAAGGGTGATATCTACATCCTGAACTTGAGAATGAGGGTGCTGGGCTAAAATAAATAATACACTGAGATAAGAAATGAGAGATCCGCACACTGAACATTGCTATTTTGGGTGCAGGAATAAAGCACTGGGGAGCAGCAATATTCTCTCATTCCTTTACCTAAACGGTAAAAAGCCAATCAACCCTTTACCTGAGATGTCTGCAGTAACATGCTTAAATAACAGGAGCACCAGCAGAACACCCAATGACATCATTCTGTTCAGATTCTCTTCAGATCAGACACACGACTGAAAAAAAATAATACCAAGAATTGTAAAATTGTGAATGCATTGAGGAGCAAAGTGAAGTGAAGAGGGCAGTGGAAACATATCTGAAACAATATTGATGAATATACCAAAAATGTGATTAACAGCAACACACTCAAAGGTTGTCAAAGGTCTGTTAAAACATAGTCAGGTAGAGAAAGTAGCATCATCATCACCAAAGTCATTACAATACGTTACGCAACATAAAACTACATTATATCAAAAGTGGCAAGATTCTTCTAGTTGAGAGAGAGCACTTACCTTTTGGAACTGATTTCAGTGGCCTTCGATGTGACTGATTGGTTGTTCTTTGTTCTCTGAGATATCTCTACAGATACAATACAGCATTAACCAAATACAGATACAATACAGCATTAACCAAATACAGATACAATACAGCATTAACCAAATACAGATACAATACAGCATTAACCAAATACAGATACAATACAGCATTAACCAAATACAGATACAATACAGCATTAACCAAATACAGATACAATACAGCATTAACCAAATACAGATACAATACAGCATTAACCAAATACAGATACAGCATTAACCAAATACAGATACAGATACAGACATTCATGCTGTAGTACTGTAATACTGAAGAAATTATCAAACGTACCTGTTTGTGATGATTTTGGTTACCACGGACACCTGTGGTGCAACATTGTAAGGGGAGAGAGGGGTTTGATTTAGCTATTCATTCACTATTAACAGTCAAATCTTCCCCAAATAACTGGCCCAGTCAATCAGGAGAGATTTCCTATTGGGGTGCCTTCAAACCAAAACTCATGAAATGCATGTCTAACGCAGAGGTGGCAGAAACGCTGTTCTCTGTTTTCAAGTAGTTGACGGATAAGTCTTTGCAGCTTTTCTGATGGACGTCGCAAAACACAATCTTAGAAACAATAGAGTCAATCTTACCAGTCTGGAGTGTGCCTTTGTTTGTGGTAGAAGGTACCATACCTGCTTGATTTATATACATATGCCGAAGGAGGAAATGAGTGTTTCAAATGGTAAAATCAATATTTGAAATTCAAATAAGAGCAAACATCTTAACACCTTGCCACACCTGCCACCACCCGAGACACACCTGTTTTTCCCATTCTCATCCATTCTCATTACATATGTGACCCTGTGCATGTGACTAATCTAATCGAATCTAATCATTGACTGCTGAGCTGATCTGAGGGATGAGAATGTGTGGGGGGGGGGGGGGGGGGGGGGGGGGGGGTCGGGGCTGCATCTGAGTGATGGAAGCGGGGAGAACAGGCCGTGGCTCGGGTGGCCGAGGTCCCTGATGATCGTCTTGGTCTTCCTGCGACACCTGGTGTTGTAGGTGTCCTGGAGAGTAGGCAGTGTGCACCAACGGTATGTTCGGCTGAGTACCACCCTCTGTAGTGCCTTGCGGTCAGCCAGCGGCGGTGGAGTTGCCGCACCAGGATGTGATGCAGCCCAATAGTATGCTCTCGATGGTGCTCCTGTAGAACACTGTGAGGGCCCTTGAGGACAGGTCGAACTGATAAACTGCCAAGTATAAAGTTAATGGAAGGGAAATATCAAGTTAACTACAGTAGTGTAGTTATTTTTGCAGTACTCTATTACAAGGGGCACACAGGTCTGAAGGGAAGTAGATCAGAGTTACATCTCTGGTGTGGTGCCATTAGGTGTGAATGACAAGCAAAGGTATAGTATTGACGTTTAAATTAGATTATTTGTGGCTGAAAGTGGGTGAGTGCAGCAGACCACTAGTCTGAGAATCTCTCTCAGCTGATTCAAGGCAGAGAGAAGACAACAGCAATTGTGATTTTCAGTGGGTGCTACTTTAAGGTAGGTTAATCAAATTCCATTTTCAGCATGATAGACCATTAAATATATTGCTAAAATATTCATCTTTGTTTGCTTAAATGTCTAATTTATCATTTTGTTTTCACTGTTCTCTTATAACATTTGCCTCAAACTTGGGAAATTATTTTGTTGGATTCATGGATTGGTAACTTTGAGTATAGCTGTGTCATTGAAACTGAGGGGACAGGCCCCATGTCATCTCCCTGTCTCAAACCACACATTTGCATGTTGTTTAGTTCTAGTAAATTTCACATTATTTCGTGCTTTTTCATTACCACAGAAATCTTGAATGAAAGAATCCACAAGCCCAACTCAGCATTCAGCACTGCAGAAAGCCAGAGCCTACATCTGTGGGGGTAGGGCACACCTATTGTTTGGACTAGCCAAACAGTTGCTTACACACATGGACCAAGCTTGTGGAGAAACATCCTTGTCTGAGGACACTCTTTTGATGTGACGTCATTACAAATAATTGTCTCATTTCTTTAGATTAGGTTTCTCCTGTAAAAGGTGGCAAGGATGTGAGTGATGCAATTGGGCAGATGTAACCTCTCCAATGAGCTTGCATTCTCCTCAACCTGGAGGGAAATGACTTCCTCACAGTAAGTTCTTCTTTGCTTCAAAAGGCTATTGCTTAAACAAGGCAAGAAATAGGCCTATTTTTGTTGTTGTAAGATGTACTATTAAAATGTTCATCTAAATGGTTTTGCCTTAGGAACAATATGGCACCTCTCACCATTGAGTTGTGTTTACACCCCCATCTTCCCATTGTCAAACAGTCATCAGACTTGCTTTTCTGTCATCATAGATAAAATACTTTAGATCCTCTGAGTGCCAAGGTTGTCATAATGGTGTATAGTATATAAATATTATTGCATACCTAAATAGTATGGAACGCCATTTGAGTCTTTGCTTGTAAAAAAAAGATACACCACAAATAACACTATTTGACGCATCAAATAAGCTTGTTGACCAATCAGGACCTGGATATGAGTGTACGTCACATAATATTTGAACACGTTTATAACTTTTTTACGTAGTTATTACACATTGATTACACTATCACTCGTATTTCATATGTCACAGCGATTCACCGATAGGTATGCTATGATGCTGGTAATGTTTTGTCTCGCGCACCTGCCGCTGCCGCACGAGGCAGACACACTTCTTCAAGCTCTGGAACTGTTGATGCACGCAAACAATGTTCTTCCCCAAAAACATAGCAAAACAACATCATCTGTTTCTGTCGCTATAGTTTGCTAGCTAACTATCTAGCTAGGTGTCATAATCTAAAATATGACTAATTTATAAGCCAGTGTTCGCATTTGGTCAATGAAGGTAGCCACAATAAGAATTAGCCACAATAGTGGAATTTGCGGTTCGCCTTCAAAATAAAAGCCCCTCTTGTTATTTGTTGAATTTATATTACAACATTCCAACCTTGTTCAGCATTATGAATATGGCATGATTCCACTAATTGTATCCATTTACATCACTTTCAAAAATATACTTTTATTTTTAAGGCGAAAATAGCCTTTTAAATAGGATGTAGGATGAGTGTACATGTGGTCATGGCAAAGGACACAGTCCCCTTTACTGCAGCCTTTTATCCAACCTTTTGTAAACAGCCATGTCTACACTCTTTAAAAAAATTGTGCTATCTAGAACCTAAAAGGATTCTTTGGCTGTCTCCACAGTGGAACCCTTTGAAGATCCCTTTTTGGTTCCAGGTATAACCCTTTTGTTTCTATGTAGAACCCTATTGGGTTCCATGTAGAACCCTTTCCCCAGAAGGTTCTACATGGAAGCAAAAATAGTTCTACCTGGAAGCAAAAAGGGTTATCCTATGGGGACAGCCGAACAACCCTTTCGGAACCCTTTTTTCTAAGAGTGTATATACATGTGACTTTAAATCAAATAGACGTTCTACCAAGTAATTTCAGTCCATTGCAGAACATAATAGCAAAGTAAAATATTTTCTAAAATGCAGAAGCTGAACTGTAAAGCTTTGACTAAATTTACAATTGTAAATCAGACACATTGTGAGAGTGTGATTTGAAGGAGTCAGGCGCAGGAGGGTAAATCACAGAATACAGAGTTTATTCCGTCGTACACAGTTACGCTGGATAGCGTCAACAGTCGCACTGGAACAAATACAGGCACACGGGGAAAATATACCCTGGCAATACAACGTACAGATAGCTCCACCGAGCTACACTCATCTCACATGAAACAATCACCCACAAGGACAAGGGGGCAGAGGGAACACTTATACATGTACTAATGAGGGGCTATGAACCAGGTGTGTGTAATGACAAGACAAGACAAATGGAATGATGAGATATGGAGCGGCAGTGGCTAGAAGGCCGGTGACAACGAACGCCGAAGCCTGCCCGAACAAGGAGGGGAGGCAGCTTCGGAGGAAGTGTGACACATATGTATTTGATTATGATTTGAATATGTTATTTTCCCTAAAGGGTACGGGAATGAGTTATGTGCACAAAGTAAACTTCCCTATTACATGGAGTGCTGACTGCTGACACGAACATGAGCAAGACACCATAGACTGTGTGCACAGGACAGTTGTCAGGAGTATAGTATCCTATAAGGAATCTTAAACAAACATCACGAACAATAGTAAATGAACAGGACAGTTTTCAGGATTCTTATCTTCTGTTTGGCAGTCGATGATGATGGCACAAGATCCTGTAGTGAAAAATAACCAACCGTGTTGTCTAGGTAACTGGAGACAACAATAGTATATACACAGGCATGCACACACAAATATTAAAAGGCGCTACCCATGTGGAGTCATTAAAAAGAGCATCATTAACTACTACTCAGACTGTCATGGTCATTCTGATGTATTTTATTGTGTTCTTCTACAGTGGAACTTAAACAGCACTATTTCTAATACCAATATGACTAATGGTCCTACTGCTTTAGTAAGACAACCTAGGAAGTGTCCAGCACATTGACTAAACATGTATCTTGAATTTCACTTGTCTTTAACAAGTTTAGCCAGCTTTCCTAAAAGCTGCTATGGTCTATTAGTACTTTCTCCTATACCAAATACGCCACACGTTGTTCTGCCTCAATCCCTCATTGTTCTGCCTTTTGTAAATATGTATTTATCCTGCCTTACAATAAACATAGACATGTATCTATGTTTCCAACCTGTTAAATAGACAATCATTAGACAATGAGCATCATCATGCAGAGTTATTTATTGTCTTCATCAGATCACAGCATACACACACAGCAACTCAGGTTTGGTTGGCACTTACACAATGATTGAGGAAATGATCAGTCCTCAAAAACAATGCAAGTCTATGTGTAAACAACATACACAGTACAATGAAATCACACTGTATTGCATAAATGAACTACTATAATCAATACAGTATTTCTGTGACCTTGAAAGCTATACTGGGCTGTATGTCTGGATGGAGATCAGGGGAGTAGTGGAGGAGGGATCCCATCCTTCATAAGACATGCTGGGGGGTTCCCAAGGCTCAATCCAGACTCTGGGCCCCTGGGGGTCAAAGAGAATCAGACAGTTAGAGAGGAAACACACCAGAACAACCGTCACTTTTTCTACATGTTGAATCATCAAAAACAGCCACCGTTCGCTGGCACCCTGCAGCTGGTCGCTTAAAACACACCACAACGAAAGTAGTTAGCTACTTATTGTAGACCTAAAGCCTATGTGGTATATTATCTCATTAACTAAACTTGAATTAAAAACTCACAGGTGATTGGCCCGATGGTGTGGGGTTTGAGGGGGACGGACTTGGACACAGAGCGGGATCTCCCCCCAGGGCACACCTGTAGAGTGAGAGAGACCAAACACTAAGTCAGAGAGACCAAACACTAAGTCAGAGAGACCAAACACTAAGTCAGAGAGATCAAACACTAAGTCAGCGAGACCAAACACTAAGTCAGAGAGACCAAACACTAAGTCAGAGAAACCAAACACTAAGTCAGAGATCAAACACTAAGTCAGCGAGACCAAACACTAAGTCAGAGAGACCAAACACTAAGTCAGAGAAACCAAACACTAAGTCAGAGAGATCAAACACTAAGTCAGAAAGACCAAACACTAAGGAGACCAAACACTAAGTCAGAGAAACTTAAAAAATAAGTCAGAGTCAGAGAGACCAAACCAAGACCAAGTCAGAGAGTCAAGAGAGACTGTGGAGGATTTGAGGACTAACCGGAGTGCAGGAGGAGCTCCTCTGGTCACACAGGCTGAGGCTGCAGTGCAGGAAGACGTCCCAGTAGTCCCCCTGGTAGAGGAACAGCAGAGCAGAGAAGCGAGCCCTGAGGGACGAGCCGCTCTCCTCCACCCTCACCTGGGTTCGATTGCTAGGACACCTGGGAGAAGAGCCAAGAAGCCGCAAAGTGTAGGGTTCAAGGTATTTACAGCTACACGTACATACCAACTCCTACTACACACACACACACATAGCACAAACGCACATGCAAACAGCTGATGAATAGAGTCACAGACCTGTGTTGAATCAAGTAGAACCGCGGGAGGTCATCTGGGCTGGGGGATTCCGTGGCGTAGCAGTTGTCTAGAACGACCACGTAACGCTCTGCCTCGGACTCCTCTACAGACACGCCCACCTCTACAGACACGCCCACATGCAGGGTGGAGCCCACCGGCATGGTGACTCTGCCTGCTGGGTAAGGCTCTGTGTAGTTGGCGTTAAGGTACAGAGACATGGAGGCTCTGGCCTTGGCACCGACTCTAACAACTCCATTACCAGGTCTGTCAAGAGGTGAAGCCACAAATCAAATCAAAGTTTGCAAACATAAAATCAAGGAGGTAGATTGACAGGTGTACTGGCAGACCTAACCAATGCGTAGGCACAGCTTAAATACGTTATCCTGTCATTCTACATCCTTGATCAAATGAAAAATGTTATGTCATTATGGCTGGTCTGCACAAAGAAAGCGGAATGATGTGTGGTGTATTTTCTCACGGTAGGTATGGTTTGATGGCCACATCCAGGCTGCTCTCTGTCTCCAGAGGGTAGACACAGGAGAGAGGATAGCTCACGGGTCGGGAGAGAGAGTCGATTCGCCCATCTACTGGATAAACTAATAAGCTGTTGGAGTAGACAGCATGGGTGGTGTTAGTCTGAAATAGAAGAAGAGAAGTGTTCACAGTTCAATTGATACTCAGGTCTTATACACAGACGTACTAACATTAAGGTCTTATACACAGACCTACTAACATTAAGGTCTTAAACACAGATCTACTAACATTAAGGCCTTATACACAGACCTACAAACATTAAGGATCAGTTATAATCAAAACTCTTCCAGTGTTGAATAACCTCCAGTCAGACATTGAGGTAATGTGTTCTCACCTCCAGAATGTTTCCACAGCGTCCCTCCCTGCGCTCCACCTGGTACCACACCGTGCCATTACGATCCTCGTGGGCAGAGCAGCGTCCGTCAGACAGATGAGCAGAGGAAGCGTTCAGACCAGCAGCCTCCAGGTGGGCCCTGTTTAGACCCACCTGTACCAGGCTCCGCCCACACACCAGCTCTGGGGCCGTGATAGGAGAAAGCGTAGGTTCCTTGATGGTGGTGACAGCTATTTGGCCAGTTGTTGTAGTGGTGGTTTCAGGTACTGGAATTGGGGTTTCAGGTACTGGAATTGTGGTGGTGGTTCCAGGTAATGGAGTTGTGGTAGGGGTTCCAGGTACTGGAGTTGTGATGGTGGTTTCAGGTACTGGAATTGTGGTGGGGGTTCCAGGTAATGGAGTTGGGGTAGGGGTTCCAGGTAATGGAGTTGTGGTGGGGGTTCCAGGTACTAGAGATGTGGTGGTGGTTTTGGGTACTGGAGTTGTTGTGGGGGATCCAGGCACTGGAGTTGTGGTGGGGGATCCAGGCAATGGAGTTCTGGTGGTGGTTTCAGGTACTGGAATTGTGGTGGGGGTTCCAGGTAATGGAGTTGTGGTAGGGGTTCCAGGTACTGGAGTTGTGGTGGGGGTTCCAGGTACTGGAGTTGTGGTGGGGGTTCCAGGTACTGGAGTTGTGGTGGGGGATCCAGGTAATGGAGTTGTGGTAGGGGTTCCAGGTAATGGAGTTGTGATGGTGGTTTCAGGTACTGGAATTGTGGTGGGGGTTCCAGGTAATGGAGTTGTGGTAGGGGTTCCAGGTACTGGAGTTGTGGTGGGGGTTCCGGGTACAGGAGTTGTGGTGGGGGATCCAGGTAATGGAGTTGTGGTAGGGGTTCCAGGTACTGGAGTTGTGATGGTGGTTTCAGGTACTGGAATTGTGGTGGTGGTTTCGGGTACTGGAGTTGTGGTAGGGGTTCCAGGTACTGGAGTTGTGGTGGGGGTTCCAGGTACTGGAGTTGTGGTGGGGGTTCCAGGTACTGGAGTTGTGGTGGGGGATCCAGGTAATGGAGTTGTGGTAGGGGTTCCAGGTACTGGAGTTGTGATGGTGGTTTCAGGTACTGGAATTGTGGTGGTGGTTTCGGGTACTGGAGTTGTGGTGGGGGATCCAGGCACTGGAGTTGTGGTGGGGGTTCCGGGTACAGGAGTTGTGGTGGTGGTTTCAGGTACTAGATTTGGGGTTTCAGGTACTGGAATTGTGGTGGGGGTTCCAGGTAATGGAGTTGTGGTAGGGGTTCCAGGTACTGGAGTTGTGGTGGGGGTTCCAGGTACTGGAGTTGTGGTGGTGGTTCCGGGTACAGGAGTTGTGGTGGTGGTTTCGGGTACTAGAGTTGTGGTGGTGGTTTCGGGTACTGGAGTTGTAGTGGGGGATCCAGGCACTGGAGTTGTGGTGGGGGATCCAGGCAATGGAGTTCTGGTGGTGGTGTCAGGTACTGGAATTGTGGTGGGGGTTCCAGGTAATGGAGTTGTGGTAGGGGTTCCAGGTACTGGAGTTGTGGTGGGGGTTCCAGGTACTGGAGTTGTGGTGGGGGATCCAGGTAATGGAGTTGTGGTAGGGGTTCCAGGTACTGGAGTTGTGATGGTGGTTTCAGGTACTGGAATTGTGGTGGTGGTTTCGGGTACTGGAGTTGTGGTGGGGGATCCAGGCACTGGAGTTGTGGTGGGGGTTCCGGGTACAGGAGTTGTGGTGGTGGTTTCAGGTACTAGATTTGGGGTTTCAGGTACTGGAATTGTGGTGGGGGTTCCAGGTAATGGAGTTGTGGTAGGGGTTCCAGGTACTGGAGTTGTGGTGGGGGTTCCAGGTACTGGAGTTGTGGTGGGGGTTCCGGGTACAGGAGTTGTGGTGGTGGTTTCGGATACAGGAGTTGTGGTGGTGGTTTCGGGTACTAGAGTTGTGGTGGTGGTTTCGGGTACTGGAGTTGTTGTGGGGGATCCAGGCACTGGAGTTGTGGTGGGGGTTCCAGGCAATGGAGTTCTGGTGGTGGTTTCAGGTACTGGAATAGTGGTGGGGGTTTCAGGTACTGGAATTGTGGTGGGGGTTCCAGGTAATGGAGTTGTGGTAGGGGTTCCAGGTACTAGAGTTGTGATGGTGGTTTCAGGTACTGGAATTGTGGTGGGGGTTCCAGGTAATGGAGTTGTGGTAGGGGTTCCAGGTACTGGAGTTGTGGTGGGGGTTCCGGGTACAGGAGTTGTGGTGGTGGTTTCGGGTACTGGAGTTGTGGTGGTAGTTTCGGGTACTGGAGTTGTGGTGGGGGATCCAGGCACTGGAGTTGTGGTGGGGGATTCAGGCACTGGAGTTCTGGTTGTGGTTTCAGGTACTGGAGTAGTGGTGGGGGTTCCAGGTACTGGAGTTGTGGTGGGGGTTCCAGGTATTAGATTTGGGGGTTCAGGTACTGGATTTGTGATGGTGGTTTCAGGTACTGGAGTTATGGAGGTGGTTCCAGGTACTGGATTTGTGGTGGTGGTTTCAGGTACTGAAGATGTGGTGGGGGATCTAGGTACTGGAGTTGTGGTGGTGGTTTCAGGTACTGGAGTTGTGGTGGTAGTTTCAGGTAGTGGAGTTGGGGTGGGGTTTCCAGGTCCTAGATATGGGGTTTCAGGTACTGAAGTTGTGGTGGGGTTTTCAGGTACTCTAGTTGTGGTGGTGGTTTCAGTTACTGGATTTGTGGTGGGGGTTCCAGGTACTAGATTTGGGGTTTCAGTTCCTGGAGTTGTGGTGGTGGTTTCGTGTACTGGAGTTGTGGTGGGGGTTCCAAGTACTGGAGTTATGGTGGTGGTTCTAGGTACAGGAGTTGTGGTGGGGTATTCAGGTACTGGAGTTGTGGTGGTGGTTTCAGGTACTGGAGTTGTGGTGGGGTTTCCAGGTACTAGATTTGGGGTTTCAGGTACTGGAGTTGTGGTGGGGGTTCCAGGTACTAGATTTGGGGTTTCAGGTCCTGGAGTTGTGGTGGGGGTTCCAGGTACTGGAGTTGTGGTGGTGGTTTCAGGTACTGGAGTTGTGGTGGTGGTTTCAGGTACTGGAGTTGTGGTGGGAGTTCCAGGTACTAGATTTGGGTTTTCAAGTACTGGAGTTGTGGTGGTTGTTTCAGGTACTGGAGTTGTGGTGGGGGTTCCAGGTACTGAAGTTGTGGTGGTGGTTTCAGGTACTGGAGTTGTGGTGGGAGTTCCAGGTACTAGATATGGGGTTTCAAGTGCTGGAGTTGTGGTGGTGATTTCAGGTACTGGAGTTGTGGTGGTGGTTTCGGGTACTGGAGTTGTGGTGGGAGTTCCAGGTACTAGATATGGGGTTTCAGGTACTGGGGTTGTGGTGGGGGTTCCAGGTACTGGAGTTGTGGTGGTGGTTTTGGGTACTGGAGTTGTGGTGGTGGTTTCAGGTACTGCAGTTGTGGTGGGGTTTCCAGGTACTGGGGTTGTGGTGGGGGTTCCAGGTACTGGAGTTGTGGTGGTGGTTTCAGGTACTGGAGTTGTGGTGGGAGTTCCAGGTACTAGATATGGGGTTTCAAGTACTGGAGTTGTGGTGGTGATTTCAGGTACTGGAGATGTAGTGCTGGTTTCAGGTACTGGAGTTGTACTGGTGGTTTCAGGTACTGGAGTTGTGGTGGGGGTTCCAGGTACTGGAGTTGTGGTGGGGGTTCCAGGTACAGGAGTTGTGGTGGGGGTTCCAGGTACAGGAGTTGTTGTGGTGGTTTCAGGTACTGGAGTTGTGGTGGGAGTTCCAGGTACTAGATTTGGGGTTTCAAGTACTGGAGTTGTGGTGGTTATTTCAGGTACTGGAGTTGTGGTAGGGGTTCCAGGTACTGGAGTTGTGGTGGGGGTTCCAGGTACAGGAGTTGTGGTGGGAGTTCCAGGTACTAGATATGGGGTTTCAGGTACTGGAGTTGTGGTGGGGGTTCCAGGTACTGGAGTTGTGGTGGTGGTTTCGGGTACTGGAGTTGTGGTGGGGTTTCCAGGTACTGGGGTTGTGGTGGGGGTTCCAGGTACTGGAGTTGTGGTGGTGGTTTCAGGTACTGGAGTTGTGGTGGGAGTTCCAGGTACTAGATATGGGGTTTCAAGTACTGGAGTTGTGGTGGTGATTTCAGGTACTGGAGATGTAGTGCTGGTTTCAGGTACTGGAGTTGTACTGGTGGTTTCAGGTACTGGAGTTGTACTGGTGGTTTCAGGTACTGGAGTTGTGGTGGGGGTTCCAGGTACTGGAGTTGTGGTGGGGGTTCCAGGTACAGGAGTTGTGGTGGGGGTTCCAGGTACAGGAGTTGTTGTGGTGGTTTCAGGTACTGGAGTTGTGGTGGGAGTTCCAGGTACTAGATTTGGGGTTTCAAGTACTGGAGTTGTGGTGGTTATTTCAGGTACTGGAGTTCTGGTGGGGGATCCAGGTACTGGAGTTGTGGTGCTGGTTTCAGGTACTGGAGTTGTGCTGGTGTTTTCATGTACTGGAGTTGTGGTAGGGGTTCCAGGTACTGGAGTTGTGGTGGGGGTTCCAGGTACAGGAGTTGTTGTGGTGGTTTTGGTTACTGGAGTTGTGGTGGTGGTGGTGGTTTCAGGTACAGTTGTAGATGTAGTTGTGGGTTTAGAGATAGTTGTAGAAGATTGCTCTTTGAGAGAGTAAAATGAGAGGAGGGTGACTGAGAGAGAGAGTGGAGAGAGCATGAGTACTCCATACTGTCAAGAACACAGACATTAAGAAACTCAACTACAAGACATTGTACACCTTTGCCTTCCACCATGGTCCTGACACAACATACTGTATATACACTGAGGAGTAAGATGTGTTTTTCTTAACACTCACCTTTCCTCTTGCACCTCCAGTTGATCTTGTTGTCACTCATACAGGTCTCATCGTTTCTACAGGTAGAACACACCTTGGTGTTGACGTCTGGAACAGCAGAGGGGAAGGGGGGTTCATGGATTTGGATCATGGTGCACACTCAGGTTATACGACTGATATACAATGTATTTGCCAAAAAATATATTTTGGGTGAGTTTGTTTGCACACGTTGTTTTTACACACCCGTTGTGTGGTGTCTAAAGTCTCTCATGACATAAATGCGGGACAGGTGAGACTTGGTTCTGGGTTCAGAGAGTGAATTGGACACATTGGAACATTATTGATGTCTTTAAGAAACAATCACAAGGACATTATGATGTCATACCTGCACAGTAGGCCAAGTTGCAGAGTGTTGTAGGGACAAATTTGTAGACATAGTAGTTTCCATAGCAGGCTTTGACATGGATGGGATTTTGTCTAAAGCTGCAGCAGTCACCATACCAGCTCCCACAGACCCCCCTCTGAACCACTCCGTCTGACAGCTGGGGATGGGGATCTGTGAGCCACATGGGGAAGGCAGTCCCACACATGTACCTCTCCACACACCTCTCTGGCATCTGAACACTGGTGTTCCCCAGGAAAAGGCGATACCAGCCCTGCCAGTTGATGCTCCGGTCGCAGTGCTCGCCATTAACGTTAGCATTGTTGTTGGTGGCACGCCAGTCGTCATTCAGTACGGTGTAGTGCTGGCAGGGGTCTGCACAGCAAGATGTTCCACCAACACCGATACAGTCCTCTCCCACATCACACACACCACAGCTTGTTACAACCAATCCTGAACAAAAAAACAGTGAGTTAATATATTAGGTTGAAAACGTATACATTACAATTCACCTTAAATACAGTATGTCAAATTCATTGATTGCCAACAAACAAGAACAAGATTTTCCTTATTACCCAATCTATATCTGTTAAAAAGTAGTTTTGACTGCCTGTACCTTTCACCATCTCCTCGATCCCACATACTTCCCTACAAGTCTCCCTATTCATCTCAGACAATCTTATCATCTATGTAAAATACCATTCTTCCCTACCTGATATTATCACCAAGAGAAGAAACAACCGCTTTGCTGTCATCATTCTGCACATAAATCTTCAGATCAAGCGTGCGAGAAACCTTACAAGATAAGTGTTAATGGGTTACTTTCTTTCACATGCTATTTGGTACAGACTAGAGTTTAAGTTTAGATTTAGTTTAAACCTCAACATTATTAAGACATAATTTAATCCACTAATTTCTATCTCTGTCGGCGCTCTACGACAATAGCCTTGCATAACTTACATCAGGTTGTATTAACGTATCATTCACAGAGGACGGATGTCAGAGTGAAGCTGTGGGCTTTCAATATACAAAGGTAGAAGGGGAGTGGAAGACATGTGACTATTAGAATAAAGAGTCATTATTTCCAAATCACTGATTAAAGGGTTTGAGAAAGGATAATAATATATTTAAGATAACAGTGCTTTTCATGTTTTGATTATGATCACACAGTTTCCTAGGCTACACCACTTGACATGTTTGTTTTTTTCCCACTGGGGCTATTTGTTAACAGTTTTAGTGACTTTGTTCAAGTTCGAGTCAGTATGTAGTTGTTTGAATTACAGATTGCTCCTTTAATCAAACATACTGGTTAACCTTGATGGTCATTGGTCTGATTACATACATTCACAACTGAGTTGAATACATGACGCTCTGAGTTAGGAAATACGACACACACGAACACACACACACACACACACACACACACACACACACACACACACACACAATAGAGGCCTGAAGGCACCACCCACATTGAGTTTACTGTAACAATGGAGAGAAGTGGAAGGTCCTCAACCAACAGTAACAATGGAGAGAAGTGGAAGGTCCTCAACCAACAGTAACAATGGAGAGAAGTGGAAGGTCCTCAACCAACCGTAACAATGGAGAGAAGTGGAAGGTCCTCAACCAACAGTAACAATGGAGAGAAGTGGAAGGTCCTCAACCAGCAGTAACAATGGAGAGAAGTGGAAGGTCCTCAACCAACAGTAACAATGGAGAGAAGTGGAAGGTCCTCAACCAACAGTAACAATGGAGTGAAGTGGAAGGTCCTCAACCAACAGTAACAATGGAGAGAAGTGGAAGGTCCTCAACCAGCAGTAACAATGGAGAGAAGTGGAAGGTCCTCAACCAACAGTAACAATTGAGAGAAGTGGAAGGTCCTCAACCAGCAGTAACAATGGAGAGAAGTGGAAGGTCCTCAACCAACAGTAACAATGGAGAGAAGTGGAAGGTCCTCAACCAACAGTAACAATGGAGCCATAAGAAAGGAGCATCATTAACTACTACTCAGACTGTCATGGTCATTCTGATGTATTTTATTGTGTTCTTCTACTGTGGAACTTAAACATCACTATTTCTAATACCAATATGACTAATGGTCCTACTGCTTTAGTAAGACAAACAACCTAAGACAATTACAAATGGTTTAGAGGCCTGCTGTGCACTGCTAGAGTATAACTACAGTTATATATTTCCCATGCTATGGTCAGATGACGTGAAAGTAGAGCTCTTTGGCCATACATACCAGTGGTGGGTTTGTTGTCGAAAAACGGATGCACATGCAGAAAATAACCTCATACCTACTGTCAAATATGGTGGTTGATTTTTTATGTAAAATCCCATCTCAGTCTCTGGACTTGAATCCCATTGAAAACCTGTGGTTTGAATTGAAGAGGGCAGTCCAGAAGCGTAGACAAAGGATATCAAGGATCTGGAAAGATTCTGTATGGAGAGATCTATTTTATTTTACCTTTATTTAACTAGGCAAGTCAGTTAAGAACAAATTCTCTATTTACAATGACGGCCTACACCGGCAAAACACGGAAGATGCTGGGCCAATTGTGCGCCGCCCTATGGGACTCCCAATCACGGCCGATTGTGATACAGCCTGGAATCGAACCAGGGGGGTCTGTAGTGACGCCTCAAGCACTGAGATGCAGTGCCTTAGACCGCTGCGCCACTCGGACCGTGTTCTCCAATCTCAAAAATCATTTTAGAAAAAGGCTCAGTGCCGTTATCCTCGTAAGGGGAGGGACCTGGAGTATTAAAAACAAGGCTGCCAATCATTTGTATTACTTGTTAAACAAAATCTATTTCTCTGACCAATTGTAATAGTATAAAATTATATAATTTGAGCATACAATATAGTTACTAATTTGTATTAGTTATTTTATACAGTCTTTTTGCATATCTTTATCAAGGGTGCCAATAATTTGGGACCTGACTGTATATCACAAATGTATAAGTCAAAAAATTGATGTAGCAATCACAGATTGCCCCTTTAATTAACAGATTGAAAACCAGTGACAGACAAATTGAAAAGTTCATTCTGAGGCAACTGTTCCCTGAGTCTGTTCTCTTCCAACTACGTCAGCCATATTGTCACAGCTGTAGTGGTCATTTGGATTACCACCGGTTCTCTTGTCGTCAGTGACCTACTACACCAGACTGATAGTCCACCAGACCAGACTGATAGTCTACTAGACCAGACTGATAGTCTACCAGACCAGACTGATAGTCTACTACACTAGACTGATAGTCTACTAGACCAGACTGATAGTCCACCAGACCAGACTGAAAGTCTACTAGACCAGACTGATAGTTTACTAGACCAGACTGATAGTCTACCAGACCAGACTGATAGTCTACTACCCCAGACTGATAGTCCACCAGACCAGACTGATAGTCTACTAGACTAGACTGATAGTCCACCAGACCAGACTGATAGTCTACTAGACCAGACTGATAGTCTACTAGACCAGATTGATAGTCCACCAGACCAGACTGATAGTCTACTATACCAGACTGATAGTCTACTAGACCAGACTGATAGTCTACTAGACCAGACTGATAGTCTACTATACCAGACTGATAGTCTACTATACCAGACTGATAGCCTACTAGACCAGATAGTCTACTAGACCAGACTGATAGTCCACCAGACCAGACTGATAGTCTACTAGACCAGACTGATAGTTTACTAGACCAGACTGATAGTCTACCAGACCAGACTGATAGTCTACTACACCAGACAGATAGTCCACCAGACCAGAATGATAGTCTACTACACTAGACTGATAGTCCACCAGACCAGACTGATAGTCTACTAGACCAGACTGATAGTCTACTAGACCAGATTGATAGTCCACCAGACCAGACTGATAGTCTACTATACCAGACTGATAGTCTACTAGACCAGACTGGTAGTCTACTAGACCAGACTGATAGTCTACTAGACCAGACTGATAGTCTACTATACCAGACTGATAGTCTACTAGACCAGACTGATAGTCTACTAGACCAGACTGATAGTCCACCAGACCAGACTGAAAGTCTACTAGACCAGACTGATAGTTTACTAGACCAGACTGATAGTCTACCAGACCAGACTGATAGTCTACTAGACCAGACTGATAGTCTACTAGACCAGACTGATAGTCTACTATACCAGACTGATAGTCTACTAGACCAGACTGATAGTCTACTAGACCAGACTGATAGTCCACCAGACCAGACTGAAAGTCTACTAGACCAGACTGATAGTTTACTAGACCAGACTGATAGTCTACTAGACCAGACTGATAGTCTACTAGACCAGACTGATAGTCCACCAGACCAGACTGAAAGTCTACTAGACCAGACTGATAGTTTACTAGACCAGACTGATAGTCCACCAGACCAGACTGATAGTCTACTAGACCAGACTGATAGTCTACTAGACCAGACTGATAGTCTACTAGACTAGACTGATAGTCCACCAGACCAGACTGATAGTCTACTAGACCAGACTGATAGTCTACTAGACCAGATTGATAGTCCACCAGACCAGACTGATAGTCTACTAGACCAGACTGATAGTCTACTAGACCAGACTGATAGTCTACTAGACCAGACTGATAGTCTACTATACCAGACTGATAGTCTACTATACCAGACTGATAGCCTACTAGACCAGATAGTCTACTAGACCAGACTGATAGTCCACCAGACCAGACTGATAGTCTACTAGACCAGACTGATAGTCTACTAGACCAGACTGATAGTCCACCAGACCAGACTGATAGTCTACTATACCAGACTGATAGTCCACCAGACCAGACTGATAGTCTACTAGACCAGACTGACAGTCCACCAGACCAGACTGATAGTCTACTAGACCAGACTGATAGTCTACTACACCAGACTGATAGTCCACCAGACCAGACTGATAGTCTACTAGACCAGACTGATAGTCTACTAGACCAGACTGATAGTCCACCAGACCAGACTGATAGTCTACTATACCAGACTGATAGTCTACTAGACCAGACTGATAGTCTACTAGACCAGACTGATAGTCCACCAGACCAGACTGATAGTCTACTAGACCAGACTGATAGTCTACTACACCAGACTGATAGTCCACCAGACCAGACTGATAGTCTACTATACCAGACTGATAGTCTACTACACCAGACTGATAGTCTACCAGACCAGACTGATAGTCTACTATACCAGACTGATAGTCTACTAGACCAGACTGATAGTCTACTAGACCAGACTGATAGTCCACCAGACCAGACTGAAAGTCTACTAGACCAGACTGATAGTTTACTAGACCAGACTGATAGTCTACTAGACCAGACTGATAGTCTACTAGACCAGACTGATAGTCTACCAGACCAGACTGATAGTCTACTAGACCAGACTGATAGTCCACCAGACCAGACTGATAGTCTACTAGACCAGACTGATAGTCCACCAGACCAGACTGATAGTCTACTAGACCAGACTGATAGTCCACCAGACCAGACTGATAGTCTACTAGACCAGACTGATAGTCTACTACAACAGACTATGTAGTACTAGAGTCATTCTCTGATCCTTTGATTGGACAACATGTCAGTTCATGCTGAAAGAGCTCTGATAGGTTGGATGACATCCTCCGGAAGTCCATGGAAGGGGTGAGAACCATGAGCCTCCTAGGTTTTGTATTGAAGTCAATGTACCCTCAGGAGGACGGAAACTAGCTGTCCTCTGGCTACACCATGGTGCTACCTTAGAGTGCTGCTGAGGCTACTGTAGACCTTCATTGCAAAACAGTTTGTTTTAATCAATTATTTGGTGACGTGAATATATTTAGTATAGTTTTATCTAAAAAGGATAGTGTAGTATATTAAAATTATGTCTTTGTTAAAGGTTTTTCATGAAGAAATGGAAGGTTGATTATTGCTATCCAGAGGGAAGGTTTTAGCGTGACGTCACCTATGACAGACAGGAAGTGGGTGGTAAGATACGGGGATTGAACAGTAGAGGGAGCTATTCAACTCTTGGAAGGCTATATAAAGGGGGGAGCGGTGACGAAGAGTTAGAATACAGCAAGATTTATTTGGGGTCTGGTTCTCCGGATATTGTGTCCGTACTTACGCTGGAACCTCGTGGTTTGAATAAAGGCCTTTGAACCCGATCCAGCCTAAGCAGACTCCTTGATTGATGATAACACCTACGAATAACCTACACTACAATAGCTTCTTTTGTTTCACCATTTTTATTTTTATGAAATTCACTGGGCAGGATGGTCCTCCCCTTCTTCTTCTTCTTCGTCTTCTGAGGATCCTCCACTGGCTTGCATTGTGGAAAGCGATAGCTACTGTGGTTATTCAGTAGACAGCTAGTTGATAGTGCTTGGTCAGTGTTTACCATAGGCTAGCTCTGGTCCCATCGCACGACGACGACGAGTTGCCTTGGAGTGAGTAGAGGAATGCGCACAAGCACCCGGGACCAGAGCTGTCCATCATCTAGCTAGCTAGCGCAGTGAAAAATACATCAAATGCCTGCAGAGACAGAGGAAACAATCTGCAGCCGACATGGGTGGTCTAAGTCAATCCTGCAAGCTTATGGAGAAGGTTGCTAGCACATTTATCTCTGGGAAATAATTGCAAATACCCGTTGTAATAAACCACCGTGCGCTTCCAGGTAGCTTAGTGGGTAAGGAGCATTAGTGCCGTAACGAAAGGTTGATGGTTCTAATCCCCGAGCCGACTAGGTGTGAAAAATCTGTCGATGTGTCCTTGAGCAAGCACTACCCGTAATTGTACTACTGTAAGTGAGCTGTATGGATAAGAGAGTCTGCTAAATGACAAAAAAATAAAAATAAAAAAAGATAGATAATACCACATGTAGCCACAGCGCAAGGGAAGTAGTGACTGTTTCTGCTGATTTTGTTCAAGACCTCCACATTCACCGTGGTGGCCCAGCGCCATTGCCGTGGAAATGCCCGGTGTGTGTCGACAACAGTGACGTGGTGGCGGGGGGGCCCGTCCGGTCTGTCCGATAGCAGCAGCTGACTCTGGCACTCTGTGGTCACGGCACCCAGAGAGAAATCGACTCGGAAAGCTTCTCTACCCAGGATGGTGTTTGTTGCTGAACTCCGACCCCAGCCTGAATGATGACACTGTGGACACACACACACACACATCTCAAAATGTGTTATTATTAGGCAAGCCCAATTAGAAATAGTTGTTTTATGTTCCTAACTAATTTTGTGATTAAGGACAATGACAGCAGTAGGCCTACAGTGCTCTCTTCTTATAGTGAGACATCCGTTGATCACTAGTCTGTAACCACATTCACTATAAGCAGAGTGCACTGACTGTACTTCAAAGGATTGACGTGTAGCAGGCTACCATACCTGTTTGCCACTCCCCTTGTTCAGAGTTGGACCTCCAAGTGGAGAGGTAGATGGCAAGTGGAATCACAAAAAAGGATTCCAACACACAACCGTTTCCAGAAAACATTCCAATTCGGAATTCCATGACACAGACTCTGGAATGGGAAAACAGAAAACACCGGGTTTGTCCCAAATGGCACCCTATTCCCTATATAGCGCATGACTTTTAACCAGAGCCCATAGAGCTTTTGCTATTACTGTAATATCGAGACAATTGTTTTCTATTCACATTGCTGAGAGTAAATATTATTATAAATCTTAATGTTTCACAACAGACTGAGTAAGCAGTATAATCTAACATCAGGGTCCGTATGTATCAAGTGTAACAGTGTTGCTTCCGTCCCTCTCCTCGCCCCTACCTGGGCTTGAACCACGGACCCTCTGCACACATCGACAACAGTCACCCTCGAAGCACCGTTACCCGTCGCTCCACAAAAGCCACGGCCCTTGCAGAGCAAGGGAAACAACTACTTCAAGGTCTCAGAGCGAGTGACGTCACCGATTGAAACGCTACTAGTGCGCACCGCTAACTAGCTAGCCATTTCACACCGGTTACCCTCACCCCCCTTTGACCTCCTCCTTTTCCGCAGCAACCAGTGATCCGGGTCACGGCACCAGTGTAACAGATGTATATCGTACTCTCCTTACGTTGTGTTTTCTCTTAATAAATCACATCAGCCAGTGGTCCCAGTTGAGCATCATTTATTTATGTTGTTAAATGGGAAACAGCACGTTAGTTGTGCAGAGCTTAACGAAATTGATGGCTGTCGATGGCTAAATCTGTAACATGAAGGCAACTGTGTTAGCAGTGGGCTCATGTGACCATTACGCCGGTGTATGCTAGCTAACACAATTATCTACAGCAATCATATGCCAAAGCACATCCCAGAAAGCCCCTCAATCCCTAACAGGTACCATATACCCACACATGTATGAATCAGTAACGTACAGCAACCTTGTACACATTGTAAAATATAAAACAGTATTCAGAACATGACCTACCCATTGCATTACATTTTCATACTGGGAAGACCTGACGTTCACGATCTCCCCCTAGCTGCAAGCGGGGCCAATCACAACACGCCTTATTGTCATCAGAGTTGAACCAACCAATAAGAATGCTTGAACATTAAATACACATTTCTTTAGAGGCAAGTGGAAACATAACCAACCCTGTTACACAAGCATCACCAGAGTAGGAGTGTTCCCCTTGTCGTTGTAATGTTATTCATTATGATCTAAAAGGCTAAACTCATCCTAGATTATGAAATCACTCCATACTAATAAGGTCAAACGATGCTTAAAATTCGCCTTATGGAGCCAAAAGACAAACACAATACCCAGCAAACATGTCCACATTGGCACAATGTGGGCCCACTGCTGGCTAAAATATTGTTATATAATATTAGCCCCACGTAGCGCAACGGCGCAGGGCAGTGTGTGTGGTTCCCGCCGCCCCGGGCCCCACCGCGTTCCTGCTGGTTATCAGGCTGGGGGTGAGGTTCACAGAGGACGAGAGGAACGCCGTCGTGAGGTGGATCCAGGAGAACTTTGGAGAAGAGTCTTTAATGTACACCATGGTGCTGTTCACTGGTGGAGACCAGCTAGAGGGGAAACCAGTGGAGGGCCTACTGAAGGACAACAGTCAACTGCTACAACTAATCACTACCTGCAGGGACAGATATCATGTCTTCAACAACGAGGAGAAAGGTGACCACACTCAGGTTACAGAGCTGCTGAAGAAGATAGAGGAGATGGTGGAGAGGATTGGTGGAAACCACTTCAATGTCAACACACACCCAGTAAGGGAGAAAGCAGGGTCTGGTGTGGTGGTCACCGTGGTGACGTTAGTGGCAGTTGGAGCTGTGTTCAAATTGATCATTGATGACTTATGGAGCAAAATACAAGAAGGAGGGAACTTGGAGAGAAACAGACAATGAAAGGTTGACTACTGAGAAAATTATCAATGTATAATTATGACTATACATTGAATTACATTAGCTTTGATCGAAGTTTCGGTTAGACTCATTCCTGTAATTTATGTGTGTGAATGATAGTCATATGTCATTCAAGGAGAGACATAGAATAGTCAAATAATTAGGAAAATATTAAGCGATAATGTATCATGCATTGTTTTATCTAACACATTTACAGTGGGGAGAACAAGTATTTGATACACTGCCGATTTTGCAGGTTTTCCTACTTACAAAGCATGTAGAGGTCTGTAATTTTTATCATAGGTACACTTCAACTGTGAGACGGAATCTAAAACAAAAATCCAGAAAATCACATTGTATGATTTTTAAGTAATTCATTTGCATTTTATTGCATGACATAAGTATTTGATCACCTACCAACCAGTAAGAATTCCGGCTCTCACAGACCTGTTAGTTTTTCTTTAAGAAGCCCTCCTGTTCTCCACTCATTACCTGTATTAACTGCACCTGTTTGAACTCGTTACCTGTATAAAAGACACCTGTCCACACACTCAATCAAACAGATTCCAACCTCTCCACAATGGCCAAGACCAGAGAGCTGTGTAAGGACATCAGGGATAAAATTGTAGACCTGCACAAGGCTGGGATGGGCTACAGGACAATAGGCAAGCAGCTTGGTGAGAAGGCAACAACTGTTGGCGTAATTATTAGAAAATGGAAGAAGATCAAGATGACGGTCAATCACCCTCGGTCTGGGGCTCCATGCAAGATCTCACCTCGTGGGGCATCAATGATCATGAGGAAGGTGAGGGATCAGCCCAGAACTACGCGGCAGGACCTGGTCAATGACCTGAAGAGAGCTGGGACCACAGTCTCAAAGAAAACCATTAGTAACACACTACACCGTCATGGATTAAAATCCTGCAGCGCACGCAAGGTCCCCCTGCTCAAGCCAGCGCATGTCCAGGCCCGTCTGAAGTTTGCCAATGACCATCTGGATGATCCAGAGGAGTAATGGGAGAAGGTCATGTGGTCTGATGAGAAAAAAATCGAGCTTTTTGGTCTAAACTCCACTCGCCGTGTTTGGAGGAAGAAGAAGGATGAGTACAACCCCAAGAACACCATCCCAACCGTGAAGCATGGAGGTGGAAACATCCTTCTTTGGGGATGCTTTTCTGAGAAGGGGACAGGACGACTGCACCGTATTGAGGGGAGGATGGATGGGGCCATGTATCGCGAGATCTTGGCCAACAACCTCCTTCCCTCAGTAAGAGCATTGAAGATGGGTCGTGGCTGGGTCTTCCAGCATGACAATGACCCGAAACACACAGCCAGGGCAACTAAGGAGTGGCTCCGTTAGAAGCATCTCAAGGTCCTGGAGTGGCCTAGCCAGTCTCCAGACCTGAACCCAATACAAAATCTTTGGAGGGAGCTGAAAGTCCGTATTGCCCAGCGACAGCCCCGAAAACCTGAAGGATCTGGAGAAGGTCTGTATGGAGGAGTGGGCCAAAATCCCTGCTGCAGTGTGTGCAAACCTGGTCAAGACCTACAGGAAGCGTATGATCTCTGTAATTGCAAACAAAGGTTTCTGTACCAAATATTAAGTTCTGCTTTTCTGATGTATCAAATACTTATGTCATGCAATAAAATGCAAATTAATTTCTTAAAAATCATACAAGTGATTTTCTGGATTTTTGTTTTAGATTCCGTCTCTCACAGTTGAAGTGTACCTATGATAAAAATGACAGACCTCTACATGCTTTGTAAGTAGGAAAACCTGCAAAATCGGCAGTGTATCAAATACTTGTTCTCCCCACTGTATATGCTGAAATCAAATTATTTTTTAAACAATTGAATAAAATGGGGGAAAAATGAAAGAATAAAAAAAAAATACATTAAATAGAATTAGCCTATCATTTTATGATCAAATAAAATGATTTAACAAATGAATGAAAAGGAGATCTATACTGTCTCTTCAAACAGTAGCTAAGTGTATTACTATGTGGTTATGTTTATGGTTTTAGGAACAGATCATTAATTCACAGACAGTTCAAGCACAGATGAAAAGGGGAAACCCAGAAGAATTAGGGGGAGGTCTATAAAAGTCTTTATCTCTTATAGACTCTTTTCTCCCTCACTAACTTTAAGCATCAGTTGTCAGAGCACCTTACCGATCACTGCACCTGTACACAGCCCTTCTGAAATTAGCCCACTCAACTACCTCATCCCCATATTGTTTTTTATTTTGCTCATTTGCACCCCAGTATCTCTATTTGCACATCATCTCTTGCGCATCTATCATTCCAGTGTTAATACTAATTGTAATTATTTTTGCACTATGGCCTATTTATTGCCTTACCTCCATAACTTGCTACATTTGCACACACTGTTATATATTTTCTGTGGTATTTTTGACTTTATGTTTTGTTTTACCCCATATGTAACTCTGGTTGTTGTTTTTATCGCACTGCTTTGCTTTATCTTGGCCAGGTCGCAGTTGTACATGAGAACTTGTTCTCAACTGGCTTACCTGGTTAAATAAAGGTGAAATAAAAATAAAATAAAAAATAGAACATACTGTAGTATGGAAATGGACCGAAACGTCCGATTCATCCAATCCGCTAGGTGGCAGCATTGAGAATGTAGACGTCAAACAAAATCACCAGAAACAGTCACTACTTCCCTTGCGCTGTGGCTACATGTGCGTTATTATTTACCTTTGAATGCAAAAGTGTTTTTTGCAAACGGGGATTGCAATTATTTCCAGAGATAAATGTACTGGCTTCTCAGTAAACCGACTCGGAACACCCATGCCTGCTGCAGATTGTTGCTTCCGTCTCTGCAGGTAGGCTATTAGATGTCTCTTGCAGTAGTAGCTAGCTAGCTGATGGTTAGCTCTGGACCAGTGCGCGTTACTCTACTTACTCAGGAGCAACTCGTTGTTGTCTTCGCGCGATTGGACCAGAGCCAACTGACCAAGCATCATCAACTAGCCCATCCACTGAATAACTACAGTAGCTATCGCTTTCCACAATGCAAGCTATCAAATAAACTTCGCTGCAAGTATCCAACGGTGGAGTTGATTATCAATATGTAATCAATGCATTATTCATCCAAAAGTAACTTAGATACTGCTTCGTTTTGCACCAACAAAATACATTTGGTTGACTTTTTTTTATCCTTAAAAAAAGAGTCCTCTCTTGCAGCAACATGTAGTGTTTTATTTCATTTTACATTTACATTTTAGTCATTTAGCAGACGCTCTTATCCAGAGCGACTTACAGTTAGTGAGTGCATACATTATTTTTTTAAAATACTGGAAACGAACCCACAACCCATGCTCTACCAACTGAGCTACATCCCTGCCGGCCATTCCCTCCCCTACCCTGGACGACGCTGGGCCAATTGTGCGCCGCCCCATGGGTCTCCCGGTCGCGGCCGGCTACGACAGAGCCTGGATTCGAACCAGGATCTCTAGTGGCACAGCTAGCACTGCGATGCAGTGCCTTAGACCACTGCGCCATTTCTCCATGAAGATCTATTTATCCTATAATTATTTTATGGATTTTTAGGTTTAAAAAGTCAGAGGGTCTTTCTCACCAATAAATGCTTATTTATTATGTTAATATAATATGAATAATATATTAATATATCTACTTTGGAGAGATGATACTATTGGATTCCCTTTTCTTCTTTGGCCAATTTGATTGAGTATAATTTATATTCTTCTTTATTCTTACTCTGTATTCTTAATTTTCTCTCAATTCATCTATATTCTTATTTACTTTCTCTCCATTGTATCTTCCAGATGATGACCAGCCCTGTCTTTAAAGGAGAGGACAAGACATCCCCCACATGGTTCCAGCCTAGAGCTACACCACACTGAAAGGATGGTAGTTTAACAGAACAAGTTTCCCTGCCCAGATTGATACTAGGGGTATTGTTCCCCTGCTCAGACATTCAATGCATCAACCAATGGTTGCGTGCCACGCCATCGACTGTGTCATCGGCTGACAGATTGCTATAACATGATATGGTTAGTTGATACTTAAAATACCTATCCAGGCGTTGTAAGATCTGTCAGGCGTCAGCAGCTCAAAAATGGAGGGAGGAGATTCACTGCATAGCCTTAACCTGAAACAACTCAAAATGGCTGCTGTCGTTTGTTTACCTGTCGTGAGACTCCACAGACTAACGAAGGATCAACTGTCTCTCGCTGCTCAGAAGAACAACAACAAACCAGGCAGAAAACCAACCAAGAAAAACTCCACCACCACCACCAGAGGAAATAAAACATCCACAGGAAAAGGAAACGACTTTGCTGACACCAAAAGTGTTTCTAGCCAGGTATCACTGGCCCCTAAGTGGTGGGGTCGCCCCAAGGGAAGCAAAAACAAACCCAAAATAACTCTCAAACTCTCCAGCGCCATCATGAGGCCTGACGCGGTAAAACAAGAGGTAGGTTTAAACTTGTGGCTTTTAAATGAAAATTGAATTGAGATCTTGTATAGCATTTGTATCAGGCGGTGTAAATGTTTACTAGATATCTGTCTGTGTGAATGTTGCTGCTATATGTTTACTAGATATCTTGACGTATCTTACAACCACCACTGAAGTCTCCTCTGGGAAAATAAAGCTCTTCTATTCTAAACCAGGTGAAACAAGAGATGGACGATCTGCCTATCGGTACGAGAAGTGATGAACACTGGTTGAGCGCTGTGAAGCCAGAGAGCTACGACCCAGAGATGGGTAACACCGGGGAACCTACAGAGAGCAACCCCAGGACAGATGCACTTCACCTGGGTATCAAGACGGAGGATGCCCCCCTGTACCACCAGGATGGAGGGAGGCGGCTGCGGTCGGCTGCGGGTCAGCTGTTCAATCCGGCTGCGTTGCGGTCTGACCCAGAATGGCGGCCTCGCAACCAGAAGGTCCGCCGGTTCCCGTGCCCGGACTGCGGCCAGAAGTTCTTCTCCAAAACCACGCTGGAGTTACACTCCCGGATCCACACCCAGTACCAGCCGTACTCCTGTGAGGTGTGCCATAAGACGTTCTCCCGGAAAGGCGGTCTGGTCGAGCACCGGCCTATCCACGAGGCGGAACGCCCCTTCGCCTGCCACCAATGCGGCAGAACCTTTACTTTCAAATCCAACCTGACCCGCCACATGCGGTTCCACAGCGACGCGCGGCCCTACGTCTGCTCCCAGTGTGGCCAAGGCTTCAAGATCTCCGCCCAACTCAAGAGCCACATGATGTCCCACAGCGGGTATAAACCGTACGTGTGCCCGGAGTGCGGCCAGAGTTTCGTCCGTTACATGAGTCTGAAGTATCACCGACTGAGCCACACCGGCGAGCGCCCGCTGTCCTGCCCAGAGTGTCCCATGACCTTTGCCCGGCCGCACACCCTTATGATCCACCGGCGACAACACACCGGGGAGACACCGTTCTCTTGCCAGGACTGTGGGAAGCAATTCAAACAGGGGTGCCAGCTGAAAGACCACGTTAGAAGGAAACACACAGGGGAGAAACCATACAAATGCTCCGAGTGTGACAAGTGCTTCATCACTTCGACGTCCCGTAAAGTGCACATGGTTGTCCACACAGGGGAGAAGCCGTACAAATGCATGGAGTGCTGTAGGAGCTACAGTCAGAGTTGGGGCCTGAAGAGGCACAGGTGTGAGCAGCAAACCAGGTGAGAGGAACCTCGGGTGTACAGTGAGGGAAAAAAGTATTTGATCCCCTGCTGATTTTGTACGTTTGCCCACTGACAAAGACATGATCAGTCTATAATTTTAATGGTAGGTTTATTTGAACAGTGAGAGACAGAATAACAACAAAAAAATCCAGAAAAATGCATGTCAAAAATGTTATAAATTGATTTGCATTTTAATGAGGGAAATAAGTATTTGACCATTCTGGAAAACATTACTTAGTACTTGGTGGCAAAACCCTTCAATCACAGAGGTCAGACGTTTCTTGTAGTTGGCCACCAGGTTTGCACACATCTCAGGAGGGATTTTGTCCCACTCCTCTTTGCAGATCTTCTCCAAGTCATTAAGGTTTCGAGGCTGACGTTTGGCAACTCGAACCTTCAGCTCCCTCCACAGATTTTCTATGGGATTAAGGTCTGGAGACTGGCTAGGCCACTCCAGGACCTTAATGTGCCTCTTCTTGAGCCACTCCTTTGTTGCCTTGGCCGTGTGTTTTGGGTCATTGTCATGCTGGAATACCCATCCACAACCCATTTTCAATGCCCTGGCTGAAGGAAGGAGGTTCTCACCCAAGATTTGACGGTACATGGCCCCGTCCATCGTCCCTTTGATGCGGTGAAGTTGTCCTGTCCCCTTAGCAGAAAAACACCCCCAAAGCATAATGTTTCCACCTCCATGTTTGACGGTGGGGATGGTGTTCTTGGGGTCATAGGCAGCATTCCTCCTCCTCCAAACACGGCGAGTTGAGTTGATGCCAAAGAGCTCGATTTTGGTCTCATCTGACCACAACACTTTCACCCAGTTCTCCTCTGAATCATTCAGATGTTCATTGGCAAACTTCAGATGGGCCTGTATATGTGCTTTCTTGAGCAGGGGGACCTTGCGGGCGCTGCAGGATTTCAGTCCTTCACGGCGTAGTGTGTTACCAATTGTTTTCTTGGTGACTATGGTCCCAGCTGCCTTGAGATAATTTACAAGATCCTCCCGTGTAGTTCTGGGCTGATTCCTCACCGTTCTCATGATCATTGCAACTCCACGAGGTGAGATCTTGCATGGAGCCCCAGGCCGAGGGAGATTGACAGTTATTTTGTGTTTCTTCCATTTGCGAATAATCGCACCAACTGTTGTCACCTTCTCACCAAGCTGCTTGGCGATGGTCTTGTAGCCCATTCCAGCCTTGTGTAGGTCTACAATCTTGTCCCTGACATCCTTGGAGAGCTCTTTGGTCTTGGCCATGGTGGAGAGTTTGGAATCTGATTGATTGATTGCTTCTGTGGACAGGTGTCTTTTATACAGGTAACAAGCTGAGATTAGGAGCACTCCCTTTAAGAGTGTGCTCCTAATCTCAGCTCGTTACCTGTATAAAAGACACCTGGGGGTCAAATACTTATTGAGAGGGGGTCAAATACTTATTTCCCTCATTAAAATGCAAATCAATTTATAACATTTTTGACATGCGTTTTTCTGGATTTTTTTGTTGTTATTCTGTCTCTCACTGTTCAAATAAACCTACCATTAAAATTCTAGACTGATCATTTCTTTGTCAGTGGGCAAACGTACAAAATCAGCAGGGGATCAAATACTTTTTTCCCTCACTGTACGTCCCAAATGGCACCTATATTCTCTATATAGTGTACTAGGGACCATAGGGCTCTGGTCAAAAGTAGTGCACTATGTAGGGAATGGGGTGCCATTTGGGACACAATCCCGGTGTTCTGAGTGTAGGAACTGGAGAGTGGATCCTTAAAGTATAAGCAGCCACATAGGTGAGAGGATTCTCAGGTGTTTTGACTAGGGGAACTGTACTTTGTTTATACAGGATTTAAAGGGGCAATCTTGGATTGGTAAATACTTTTTTTAAAACTTTGATTCTTGAGGAATATAACTTATAAATGCCTCTTGAACTTAAATTAAATTGTCTTACCCCATCAGAACTCAAAATATATGATCGCCTCACCAGGGAAAACTCTAGGCTCTGCTATTGACTGTACTATCAGTTTTTTTTGAACCCTCAATAAAATCATCCGTTTTCACTGTGATGCAGTCCCACTCTCACCTGATGTGTGATGTGAATGTTCAGGGACGGTTTCCCAGATACAGGTTAAGCCAAGTCCTGGAATTAAAAGCAAGCAAATCTCCAGTGAAATAGGTTTTTATCCTAGCACTAGGCTTAATCTGTGTCTGGGAAACCGGTCCTCGATGTTGTAAAACAAACCAAAGTTTTTGTGTTAAAACTTTGTATAGAAGAAAAAAATGCATCTACTATTAATGCAATGGTTAGTTGAGACTGAAAGCCTTTGTTTGAGAGGATTATTAGGATGTATAAAGTCATGATAATGGGTGGAACGGAGCGAATGGAATGGCTTCAAACACATGGAAACCATGGAAACCAAATGTTTGATGTATTTGATACCATTCCACCGATTCCGCTCCAGTTATTCACCACAAGCCCATCCTCCCCAACTAAGATGCCACCAACCTCCTGTGATGCCATGTCTATGTCATTTTTTGCCCAACTGATGAATAGAACTGATCAATAAACTGACTTGTTTCACTGAGTGTGTGTGTGTGTGTGTGTGTGTGTGTGTGTGTGTGTGAGAGAGAGATAAGGGTTAGTCATAAAGAGAAGACAGTAAAAGAAGAAGATTACAGTTTAATTGAAGAATCACACTTCTTAGAGGTGAGATCCCTTTTGGCTACTAAACCAGAGCAACGCCTTATGTATACAGCAGGCTAGTGTGATTAACAAGGTTGGCTGTAGAAATGATCTATGTGACGTTTTGTTTTGACCTTTGACCTTGTAGGCTAACGGGGCAATTGAATGGGCACTACGAAACACGCCAGCACTGCATGAACCTTTAACCCGAGAGTTGACTAAAAGTAGATTTATGAATCTGCTATATTCTGAGCTAACTAAATAGACTACCAATGTATGTATCATTTTGTACTTGTACTGCTTTTTTAAGGAGGTGTGTTAACGACTTAACTTTAAAAAATCATCTGAAATATGACATAGGAATCCATTTTAAGTTGCTGTAATATTGATTGCTGTAAATTACATTGGGACAAGATGTCACATAACATCTTAATCTGTTCAGTCATTTGGTGATGTGATTTTCTTGAAGCAACCTTTTATTTATTTTTGATCAGCTGTCCCAGTAGACAACGTATCAATATATACTACACCTGTTTCATTGGTAATGGCATTACAAGGCACTTACTGTAACCCCAACTGCTCCAGGGACACCGTTAATAATGACTGACCTTGGCTTTGACCCCGAGTCGCCGGGCTGTCTCAGTGGGATTTGCAAGCATTTCCAATTCACACAAGTACACACTTACACACTTAAATATTAGCACCTACAGTGCATTCGGAAAGTATTCAGACTCCTTCACTTTTTCCACATTTTGTTACGTTACAGCCTTATTCTAAAATGAATGGTTTTTTTCCCCCTCATCAATCTACACACTACCCCATAATGACAAAGCAAAAACAGGTTTTTAAAATACCACATTATGAGTATTCAGACCCTTTACTCAGTACTTAGTTGAAGAACCTTTGGCAGCGATTACAGCCTCGAGTTTTCTTGGGTATGACACTACAAGCTTGGCACCTGTATTTGGGGAGTTTCTCCCATTCGTCTCTGCAGATCCTCTTAAGCTCTGTCAGGTTGGATGGGGAGCGTCGCTGCACAGCTATTTTCAGGTCTCTCCAGAGAGGTTAGATCGGGTTCAAGTCCGGGCTCTGGCTGGGCCACTCAAGGACATTCAGAGACTTGTCCCGAAGCCACTCCTGCGTTGACTTGGCTGTGTGCTTAGGGTTGTCCTGTTGGAAGGTGAACCTTCGCCCCAGTCTGAGGTCTTGAGCGCTCTGGAGCAGGTTTTCATCAAGGATCTCTCTGTACTTGATGGGAATTTTTCAGTAGACTATAATTAAATCTCTTCAGACTCAGTAGACTATAAGATAAACATAGTTAATCACAACATGACGAACACGGAGCCAGGGTTAAACATGGGTACATCTCTGTCACAGAAAGCGGCACAGGTCCTAATTACATTTTACATTTTTAGTCATTTAGCAGACGCTCTTATCCAGAGCGACTTACAGGAGCAATTAGGGTTAAGTGCCTTGCTCAAGGGCACATCGACAGATTTTTCACCTAGTCGGCTTGGGGATTAGAACCAGCGACCTTTCGGTTACTGGCACAACGCTCTTACCCACTAAGCTACCTGCCGCCCTAATCCAGGCACTTGTCATCTCCCTTCTGGATTACTGCAACTCGCTGTTGGCTGGGCTCCCTGCCTGTGCCATTAAACCCCTACAACTTATCCAGAACGCTGCAGCCCGTCTGGTGATCAACCTTCCCAAGTTCTCTCATGTCACCCCGCTCCTCCGCACACTCCACTGGCTTCCAGTTGAGGCTTGCATCTACTACAAGACCATGGTGCTTGCCTACAGAGCTGTGAGGGGAACGGCACCTCCTTACCTTCAGGCTCTGATCAGACCCTACACCCAAACGAGGGCACTACATTCATCCACCTCTTGCCTGCTAGCTCCCCTACCTCTACAGAAGCACAGTTCCCGCTCAGCCCAGTCAAGCTATTCGCTGCTCTGGCACCCCAATGGTGGAACAAGCTCCCCCACGATGCCAGGACAGCGGAGTCACTGACCACCTGGCACCCCAATGGTGGAACAAGCTCCCCCACGATGCCAGGACAGCGGAGTCACTGACCACCTGGCACCCCAATGGTGGAACAAGCTCCCCCACGATACCAGGACAGCGGAGTCACTGACCACCTTCCGGAGACATTGAACCCTACCTCTTTAAGGAATACCTGGAAATAGTTTAAAAGTAATGCTGTTCCCCATAAAAAATAAAAATTGTTAAAAAGGTGGTGTCCCACTGCCTCAGTAAGTTGAATGCACCAGTTGTAAGTCGCTCTGGATAAGAGCGTCTCTAAATGATGTAAATGCTAGGCAATAACTTAATTGGTTCCTCTCACTGGTGTAGTCATTGCCCTGCCTGGTATATGTGTGTGTGTGAAATAGGACTGTTTATTATTGATCACAGCATGAGGGGCGTTTGGACTGGGTGGTACAGAGGGAGGAGGCTGGTATATGTTTGAGAAATGTATTATGGACCTGACATGTTTAAGTATCGATTGATAGGTTTGGGAATCAATTAGGGGGTCAGAACGGAGCCAGGAAAGGGCTCTCTTATTTTTACATAACAGGGCTTGGTCCCACCACTATTGTTTCCAGACACGGAACTAGAAGGGAGGGAAATCAGATACCGCCATTAAGGAAGTGGGCGGAGAGGTCAAGAGGTGAAAACTGGAGACAGTGGTGGAGGAACCAAAGAGGGAGGGATTAAGCTAAAATGTATGTAAAATGACTATATAAACTGAGAGGTGGCAAGTTAGATGCTCTGTAGACCACCTCTGCTATATTGATTGTAATAAAGTCTATCTTAATTCTACAAAAACTCTGAAAGTACTTTGTGTTTGACTGAGGACAAAGACAATTTTCTACAACATACTTTGCTCCATTCATCTTTCCCTTGATCCTGACTAGTCTCCCAGTCCCTGCCGCTAAAAAAAATATCCCCACATGATGCTGCCACCACCATGCTTCACCGTAGTGATGGTATTGGCCAGGTGATGAGAAGTGCCTGGTTTCCTCCAGACGTGACGCTTGGCATTCAGGCCAAAGAGTTCAATCTTGGTTTCATCAGACCAGAGAATCTTGTTTCTCATGGTCTGAGAGTCCTTTAGGAGTGGCTTCCGTCTAGCCACTCTACCATAAAGGCCTGATTGGTGGAGTGCTGCAGAGATGGTTGTCCTTCTGGAAGGTTCTCCCATCTCCACAGAGAAACTCTGGAGCTCTGTCAGAGTGACCATCGGGTTCTTGGTCACCTCCCTGACCAAGGCCCTTCTCCCCCGATTGCTCAGTTTGGCTGGGCGGCCAGTTCTAGCAAGAGTCTTGGTGGTTCCAAACTTCTTCCATTTAAGATTGATGGAGGCCACTGTGTTCTTGGGGACCTTCAATGCTGCAGAATTTTTTTGGTACCCTTCTCCAGATCTGTGCCTCGACACAATCCTGTCTCGGAGCTCTATGGACAATTCATTCGACCTCATGGCTTTGTGTTTGCTCTGACATGCACTGTCAACTTGGGACCTTATCTAGAAAGGCATGTGCCTTTCCAAATCATGTCCAATCAATTGAATTTACCACAGGTGGACTCCAAGTTGAAGAAACATCTCAAGGTTTATCAATGGAAACAGGATGCACCTGAGCTTAATTTCGAGTCTCATAGCAAAGGGTCTGAATACTTATGTAAATAAGGTATTTGTTTTTTTATATGTAATACATTTGCTAAAATTTCTAAAAAACCTGCTTTCACTTTGTCATTATGGGGTATTGTGTGTAGATTGATAAAAAATATATATTTAATCAATTTTCGAATAAGGCTGTAACTTAACAAAATGTGAAAAAAGTGAAGGGGTCTGAATACTTTCCGAATGCATTGTACGTACCATACTGTCGAGGTAGTTGTTATTAAATATTCACTGAAGTCATGGGGGAAGGATTGTCCGTGGGGATGACCGGGAAGATAAAAAATATAAAAATAAAGGTGAGAACTGTTTGATAATGAACAAAAAATAAAGTCATACTGTAATGCCTGGGCTGTCAGGTTCGGATTATTCATGGTTGGTTACTAGAATTTTGTCAAATATTCCGACATTTTTAAATAAATGCTTTAAATCAATATATATAGCAGTGTTAGAATGTATTTGTAATGTTTTGATTTCACATCTGTTCCACACACTAAACAATAAAACCAGTCCTAATACAGCAGACCACCACAGCTGTGACAGCATGGCTGAGGTAATCAGGAGAACGGACTGTGACTCAGGTAAGAGGTCCCTCAGAACCAGCTTTTCTTTTACTGGTTTCAGGTTGTTCATGAATGTAGTAATTTGTAGGACTGATTTTAACCCACTGGGCACAGACCTCAGTTAAACGTCTAGTTTTGATTTACATTTGGTTGAGTTGTCAACTAATGTGAATTTAATGTGAAATCAACCAAATTAATTTAGGGTAAAAGTTGGGTGAAAAAAATACTATTCACTTAAGTTGATGACTTTTGGCAAATCCATCAGTTTTCCACGTTGATTCAACATCCTCACATTGAATATTTTGGTTGAAATAATGTAGAAACAACATTTTTTTGCCCAGTGGGAGAGTAAGACGTGAGCTTAGAATAGTTGTGGTGGGTGAACTGCCTGTAGCAGGAAAGAGTGCAACCAGAAATGTCTTCACAACTGATGCTTCCCCTGTGCCTGTGACCACACAGTGTCAGGCAGAATATAGAGTTCTGGATGGGACCAACAACACTGTCATAGACACCACAGGAGTCATCAGTGAAATGCCTGGATCTCTCTCATCCTCATGTTCTACTACTGGTGATCAGGCTGGGGAGGTTCACTGAAGAGGAGAGGGACGCTGTGAAGTGGATCCAGAAGAGCTTTGGATCGTGGGGCCCAAAGTTCACCAGAGTGCTTGCTGTTCACACAGACCAGTTGAAGGGTAAACCTATAATGGCCTTTCTGCAGAGCAGTCCAGACCTTCAGGCACTCATTGCTAACTAGTAGTGGATCCAATGTCTTCAACATTGAAGACAAAGGCAACATTGGACAAGTTAAACGACTGCTGGAAAATATTGATACAGTTTCATATCAGAACTGGGGATACTACTACATGGAAGAGGCAGAAATAAAGATCAGAGCTGAAGACTAATGGAAGAGAGAAGAGGCTGAGAGACAACAGAGGTGAAGAGCAAAGAAAGACAGTATTTTACAACATACATTTTCTGCCTTACAGGAGGCAAAACGTTTTCTGACTTGTAAAATGTCTAGCACGACTAGCCACATTTCTTTTTGTCTCTTCAAACAGTAGCTAAGTGTGTTACTATGTGGCTATGTTTATGGTTTTAGGTACAGACAATTCATTCACAGATAGTTCATGCAGAGATGAAAAGATCTATAAGAGTCTTTATCTCTTATAGAACATTTTATTGTATGGAAATTGAACGAAATGTCTGATTCATCCGATCCGCTAGGTGGCAGCATTGTGAATGTGGAGGTCTAGAACAAAATCAGCAGAAACAATCACTACTTCACTTGCGCTGTGGCTAGATGTGGTATTATTCATCTTGGAATGCAACAGTGTTTATTGCAAACAGGGATTGCAATTATTTCTCTGAAATTAAATGTACTGGCTTCTCAGTAAACCGACTCGTACCACCCATGACCGCTGCAGATTGTTGCTTCCGTCTCTGCAGGTAGGCTATTAGATGTCTCTTGCAGTAGTAGCTAGCTAGCTGATGGTTAGCTCTGGACCAGTGCGCGTTACTCTACTTACTCAGGGGTTAAGTCGTTGTCTTCGCGCGATTGGACCAGAGCTAGCTACTGAATAACTACAGTAGCTATCGCTTTCCACAATGCAAGCTATCAAATAAACCTCACTGCAAATATCCAACGGTGGTGTTGAATTTCTCCATGATGGTCTATTTATCCTAGAATTATCTTATGGATTTTTAGGTTAGGGATGTTAAAAGAAAAAAAAAACAGAGGGCCTTTGACACCAATAATTTTTTATTTAAAGCTGCAATATGTAACTTTTGGCTACCCGACCAAATTCACATAGAAATGTGTGTTAGAGATCTATCATTCTCATTGAAAGCATGTCTAAGGGGCGGTAGATCTGTTCTATGTGCGCTGTTTCTATGCTTCCCGTTCTTAAGTTTCGATTTTTTCATATTTTACTTTCGGTTTTGTACACCAGCTTCTAACAGCTGAAAATACAATATTGGTTATGGAAAATATATTGTACAGCGGTTTAGATGGTACAATTATTCTCTACACTATACTTGCTTGTTTTGTCACATAAACTGAAATTAGGCGAACTATTCGAATTTTATGAACCAGGAAATGGCGGAACGATTTAATATATTAATATATCTACTTTGGAGAGATGATACTATTGGATTCCCTAATTCTTCTTTGGCCAATTTGATTGAGTATAATTTATATTCTTCTTTATTCTTACTCTGTATTCTTAAATTTCTCTCAATTCTTCTATATTCTTGTTTACTTTCTCTCCATTGTTTCTTCCAGATGATGACCAGCCCAGTTTCCCTGCCCAGATTGATACTAGGGGTATTGTTCCCCTGCTCAGACGTTCCATGCATCGACCAATGGTTGCGTGCCACGCCATCGACTGTGTCATCGACTGACAGATAGCTAAAACATGATTTGGTTAGTTGATACAATGCCTGGATAGGTTTTTTTAAGTAAGATGTCAGGCGTCAGCAACTTTTGAGCAGAGAAACGCGCCTTACATCACCTCAAAATGGAGGGAGTCTCACTGCATAGCGTTAACCTGAATCAACTCAAAATGGCAGCTGACGTTTCTTTACCCATCTTAAGACTCCACAGACTGACGAAGGATCAACAGTCTCTCGGAGCTCAGAAGAACAACAACAAACCAGGCAGAAAACCAACGAGGAAAAACTCCACAGGAAAAGGAAATGACTCTGCTGACACCAAAAGTGTTTCTAGCCAGGTATCACCGGCCCCTAAGCGGTGGGGTCGCCCCAAGGGAAGCAAAAACAAACCCAAGATAAATCTACAACTCTCCAGCGCCATCCTGAGGCCTGACGCGGTAAAACAAGAGGTAGGTTTAACCTCTTGGAATTAACATTTAATTGAGATCTTGTATAGCATTTGTAACTCTTTGTGAATGTTGCAGCTATATGTTTACTAGATATCTGTCTGTGTGAATGTTGCAGCTATATGTTTACTAGATATATTGACGTATCTTACAACCACCACTGAAGTTTCCTCAGAGGAAAATAAAGGTATTCTAATTTAAACCAGGTGAAACAAGAGATGGACGAGCTGCCTATCGGGACAAGAATTGAACACTGTTTGAACGCTGTGAAGCCAGAGAGCTACGACCCAGAGATGGGTAACACCGGGGGACCTCCTACAGAGAGCGACCCCAAGACAGATGCACGTCACCTGGGTATCAAGACAGAGGATGCCCCCCTGTACTTCCAAGATGGAAGGAGACGTCTGCGGTCGGCTACCGGCCAGCCGTTAAATCTGACTGCAATCCGGTCCGACCCAGAATGGCGGCCTCGCAACCAGAAGGTCCGCCGGTTTCCGTGCCTGGACTGTGGACGGAAGTTCTTCTCCAAAACCACGCTGAAGTTCCACTCCCGGATCCACACCCAGTACCAGCCGTATTCCTGCGATGTGTGCCATAAGACGTTCTCCCGGAAAGCCGGCTTGGACGAGCACCGGCCAATCCACGATGCGGAACGCCCCTTCGCCTGCCACCAATGCGGCAGAACCTTCACATTCAAATCTAACCTGACCCGGCACATGCGGTTCCACAGTGATGCTCAGCCCTACGTCTGCTCCCAGTGTGGGCCAAGGTTTCAAGATCTCCGCCCACCTGAAGCGCCACATGACGGCCCACAGCGGGTGTAAACTGTTCGTGTGCCCGGAGTGCGGCCAGAGTTTTGTCCGTTACATGAGTCTGAAGTATCACCGACTGAGCCACACCGGCGAGCGCCCGCTGTCCTGCCCAGAGTGTCCCATGACCTTTGCCCGGCCGCAAACCTTTATGGTCCACCGGCTGAAACACACCGGGGAGACACCGTTCTCTTGCCAGGACTGTGGGAAGCAGTTCAAACAGGGGTGCAAGCTGAAAGAACACATTAGAAGGAAACACACAGGGGAGAAACCATACAAATGCTCTGATTGTGACAAGTGCTTTGTCACTTCGGCCTCCCGTAATGCACACATGGTTGTCCACACAGGAGAGAAGCCGTACAAATGCACGGAGTGTGGTATTAGCTACAGTCAGAGTGGATATCTAGCACAGCACATGAGGAGACACACAGGGGAGAAACCATACAAATGCTCTGATTGCGACAAGTGCTTCATCACTTCGACGTCCCGTAAAGTGCACATGGTTGTCCACACAGGGGAAAAGCCGTACAAATGCACGCAGTGCGGTAAGAGCTACAGTCAGTGTGGGTCCCTGAAGAGGCACAGGTGTGAGCAGCAAACCAGGTGAGAGGAACCTTGGGTGTACGTCCTAAATGGCGCCCTATTCTCTATATAGTGTACTAGGGACCATAGGGCTCTGGTCAAAAGTAGTGCACTATGTAGGGAATAGGGCGTCATTTGGGACACAGTCCCGGTGTTCTGAGTGTAGGAACTGGAGAGAAATGGAGAGTCGATCCTTAAAACGTAGCACAGGTGAGTAACCAGGTGAAAGGAACCAGGTGAGATGATTCTCGGGTGTTCTGAGTAGGGAAACTGGACTTTGTTTATACAGGACATAAAAGGGACAATCTGCAATTGGTACAGCCATTTTTGGACTTTTAAATTAATGACATACAGCCAGTGATTCTTATAAAATATAATGTATATATGCCTCATGAACTTAGTGCAGTTAAACTGTTTTACCCCAGCAGAACTCAAAATGTAAGATCACCTCACCAGGGAAATCTCTAGGCCTATTGACTCTTCTATCAATTATTGAAACTGTGATGAAATGAACCGTTTTCACTGTGATGAAATCAACCGTTTTCACTGATGAAATCAACCATTTTCACGGTGATGAAATCAACCGTTTTCACTGTGATGCAGTTTAACTTGATGTGTATTGTAAATGTTCAGGGACGGTTTCCCAGACACAGATTAAGCCAAATCCTGGACTAAAAAGCAAGAATCTCCATTGAAATGGGTTTTTATCCTAGGACTAGGCCCTCGATGTTGTAGAGTTGGACCGGGCCAGCTGCTACAGGGTCAACCGGACGGACCTTCCGCTGCTGCGTCACGCCAACGTCATCCACACACCGGGCGTTTCCAAGGCACAGGGCAGAGTGTGTTGGTCTCGCTGCCCCAGGACCCTGCGCGTTCCTTCTGGTGATCAGGGGGTGAGGTTCACGGAGGAGGAGAGGGATACCACCGTGAGGTGGATCCAGGAGAACTTTGGAGAAGAGTCTTTAATGTACACCATGGTTCTGTTCACTGGTGGAGACCAGCTAGAGGGGAAACCAGTGGAGGGCCTACTGAAGGACAACAGTCAACTGCTACAACTAATCACTACCTGCAGGGACAGATATCATGTCTTCAACAGCAAGGAGAAAGGTGACCACACTCAGGTTACAGAGCTGCTGAAGGAGATGGTGGAGAGGATTGGTGGAAACCACTTCAATGTCAACACACACCCAGTAAGGGAGAAAGCAGGGTCTGGTGTGGTGGTCACCGTGGTGACGTTAGTGGCAGTTGGAGCTGTGTTCAAATTGATCCTTGATGACTTATGGAGCAAAATGCAAGATGGTGGGAACTTGGAGAGAAACAGACAATGAAAGGTTGACTACTGAGAACATTCTGTGAAAATGATCAATGTATTATTATGACTTGATTGAATTACAGAGCATTGATCTAAGTTTCGGTTAGACTCATTCTTGTAATTTATTTACTCCCATTTTATGTGAGTGTGAATGAAAAAGTCATTTGTCATTAAGGAGAGATATACAATTGTCAAAACATGGAAAATATTCAGCAGTACTGTATCATACATTGTGTTATCCAACACTTTTGTATGCTGAAATCAAATTCAGTAACAAGTCATGAAATAAATGGAGAAAAATTGATGAAAAATAATGAATGAAAATGAGATCTACACTGAGTATACAAAACATTAAGAACACCTGCTCTTTCCATGACAGACTGACCAGGTGAATCCAGGTGAAAGCTATGATCCCTTAAATCCACTTCAATCAGTGTAGATGAAGGAGAGGAGACAAGTTAAATACATTTTTTTAAGCCTTGAGACAATTGAGACATGGATTGTGTATGTGTGCCATTCAGAGGGTGAATGGGCAAGACAACATATTTAAGTGCTTTTGAACTGGGTATGGTAGTAGGTGCCAGGCGCGCCAGTTTGTGTCAAGAACTGCAACGCTTCTGGGTTTTTCAAGCTCAACAGTTTCCCCTGTGTATCAAGAATAGTCCACCACTGTAGGACATCCAGCCAACTTGACATAACTGTGGGAAGCATTGAAGTCAACATGGGCCAGCATCCCTGTGGAACGCTTTCGACACCTTGCAGAGTCAAAAGGGCAAAAGGGGTGGGGGGGCGGGGGTTCAACTCAATATTATGAAGGTTTCCTTGATGTTTTGTACACTCAGTATATACTGTCTCTTTAAACAGTAAGTGTATTACTACATTGTTATTTTTATGGTTTAGGTACAGATAATTATTTTACAGACAGTACACGCACAGATGAATGGGGGAAACCCATACGAATTAGGGGGTTAGTAGCTATAAGAATCGATCTAATTGGTACTGTACATGTATGGAAATGGTACAACATGTCTAATTCCTCCGCTCCGCTAGGTGGCAGCAATGATAATGTGGACGTCTTGAACAAGAAGAGCAGCTGAAGCAGTCACAACTTCCCTTGCTCTGTCTGTGCAGGGTTGCCATGTGTGCAGTTTTCTGACATTTGGGCTACTTTGAAAACGATGTCGCGGGTGAAAATGTATTGGTTGCGGGTTTTTGGCCTATTTCTAAATTGCACCGCGGCCGCCATGGCATTTCTCTTTAAAAATATATATTTTCCACTGCTGCTGCTGACTATCGGGCAGTGAGGCAGGCTGTTGCTGAGTGAGTGAGTGGTGGGGAGGGGTGTGTGTGTTGAGAGCACTACAGCATGCAGTTTAGTCCACTATTAGCTGAGTCACGTAGGTGAGAGGAGTCAGAGCAGCATGCGTGCACGTCGTGACAACCTTTCATACTAGTTGTAGGTAGGCTATTTAGCTTGTCATTATGCGCGAGTGGAAATTTGAAACGGAAGCTATGGAACTACGTCGCGTGCTTCTGTTATGGGGGAAAAGTCCTCACTGAAACTGACATTAAATGTGGAGATCGATACATTTGCATCTGTTGGCCATCAAGTAGCCTATTCATTTATATGACATTGTAGGATACTGTAGGCTATCATTTGATATAATAAATATGTTGAAATGACTATCACTGGAGTCATTACCAAATCAAACTTCCTGGAGCTGGCAAACAGATGTAATAAATAGCCTATAACTTCAGTGTATTGTTGTAGCCTTGTGTTATTATGCAATTATTAATGGCCATGTTTAGTTAATTAAATTGGATGTTTTCAAAGCTCTATCACAATTGCCGATCAGTTGTTAGAACGCAGATTAACGGTAACAGTAAATCAGATTAGGCTACAGGTTAAAAAAAAAGTTTTAAAAAATCAACACGGGCTGTTGTTGACAAACATATTCAGTTCATATACATATTATTCATATTTAATCCAGTGATTGAAATTAAGACCGATCCTCAGCAGCCTATCCCAGCAGGCTATTGGGAAACACAAGTACTTCTTAACTCAATCGCCAAACTATTCATGTTGAATAAATGTGTGTGTTAATTTTAACTAAGCAAGATGCTAAATCGTTCTGTTTACATCTTGCCTACATTTTGCCTAGGCTACTGTAGACTATCTGAAATGAGATGTAGGCCTATCAGGGGCACATTTGTGGCCTGCTGGAGGTCATTTTGCAGGGCTCTGGCAGTGCTCCTCCTGCTCCTCCTTGCACAAAGGCAGAGGTAGCAGTCCTGCTGCTGGGTTGTTGCCCTCCTACGGCCTCCTCCACGTCTCCTGATGTACTGGCCTGTCTCCTGGTAGCGCCTCCATGCTCTGGACACTACGCTGACAGACACAGCAAACCTTCTTGCCACAGCTCACATTGTTGTGCCATCCTGGATGAGCTGCACTACCTGAGCCACTTGTGTAGGTTGTAGACTCCGTCTCATGCTACCACTAGAGTGAAAGCACCGCCAGCATTCAAAAGTGACCAAAACATCAGCCAGAAAGCATAGGAACTGAGAAGTGGTCTGTGGTCACCACCTGCAAAACCAGTCCTTTATTGGGGGTGTCTTGCTAATTGCCTATAATTTCCACCTGTTGTCTATTCCATTTGCACAACAGCATGTGAAATGTATTGTCAATCAGTGTTGCTTCCTAAGTGGACAGTTTGATTTCACAGAAGTGTGATTGACTTGGAGTTACATTGTGTTGTTTAAGTGTTCCCTTTATTTTTTTAAGCAGTGTAGTATGCAGCATCATCTAGATATGTGTGCAAAAAAAGTTAAACATTCACCTTCTGCTACCATTTCTGTCAAACCGTTTACGCATACAGTTTGACTCATACATTCGATAAATCCAACGTATGCACCACACAGAACACATTGCAACTGGCTCTGCAACGCAATGCTGCAAAGCAAATGCAGCGTTCCATTGGAAATGAATGTACTTCTGGTGTACCATTACCGAGGGCAAACTACTCGCCCTCCAGGACACCTACAGCACCAGATGTCACAGGAAGGCCAAAAAGATCAACCACGCGAGCCACTGCCTGTTCACCCCGCTATCATCCAGAAGGCGAGGTCAGTACAGGTGCACCAAAGCTGGGACCTAGAGAATGAAAAACAGCTTCTATCTCAAGGCCATCAGACTGTTAAATAGCCATCACTAGCACATTAGA